TCCCCTGCTACCGAAGGAACCCAACCCAACGGCCGCCCTCCCCCCCCTCCCCCTCCCCCCCTCCCCTCCTCCCCCCCCCCTCCATACTCACCCACCCACGACATACATGCACACGTATACACACACAGAAGGCATATGGCATCGGTGGCTGGTCCGGCGAGTGGAGGACAGAGCGGGCGGACGAGCTCGGCGGTGGTGGCTGCGGCGGTGGCGGCAGTCGGGGCAGGCGGACTGGCGGCGTGGGTGGCGAGCAACCAAGAGCAGATGGGCGAGATGGAGGCTGACGAGGCGGTGGCGGTGCGGGAGGTGCGGGCGATGGTGGCGGCGGCAGCGGCAGAGGGCAAGAAGAAGGACAAGGACGGCGGAATGGTCCATGTTCCCACAGGCGTCCAGGAAGAGGTCAAGTACCGCTACGAGCTCCGCATCCGCCAGATGTCGGCACCCGAGAAGGTCTTTGAGTACTTTGCTTCAGTCGAGGATGCCGACGGCTCGCTCAAGATGACGCCGGTCGACTTTATGCTCGCCATCACGCCTGTCGCCACGCAGCGGCCGGGCCTGCCGACCACGCTCTCGGACGACGCCGTCAAGCTCTTCGCTGACTTTGACGTCAACCACGACGGACTCATCTCGTTTGCCGAGTACCTCTTCTTCATCACGCTCCTCTCCATCCCGGAAAGCGAGTTCCAGGTTGCTTTCAAGATGTTCGACACCAACCACGACGGAACCGTCGACGCCGACGAGTTCTCGCGGGTCATGGAGACGCTCAAGGACCGAACAGCCATCGGCCAGCACTCGCGCGGCGGCTCGCGCTCCTTCACGCACATGTCCGACAAGAACGAGTTTACCGAGACCTGCCGCGGTATCCACGCATTCTTCGGTGAGGACGGCAAGGGCTCGGTCTCGTTTGACGTCTTTGAGCAGTTTATGTCGCGCCTCCGTGCCACCATCATGCACATCGAGTTTGACTACTACGACGTCAACGACTCGGGCACCATCCCGGCTACTGCCTTTGCTCTCTCCGTCATCGGCTACGCCAAGACCAAGGACATCTCCATGTACCTTGACCGCATCCACACCCTCCCGGCCCACGTCAAGAACGCCCAGTTCACATTCAAGCAGTTCCAGGACTTTAACAAGTTCCTCCGCTCCATCGACCAGGTCGCCCTCGCCATCACCCTCTACGGCGCCATCTCGGGCGGCTCCATCAAGGCCGAGGACTTTGCCCACGCCGCCCACGCTGTCGCGGGCGTCCAGCTCGACACCCTTCAGATGGAGCTCATGATCCACCTCTTTGACCACGACGGCGACGGCAAGCTCGACCCCGAGGAGCTCGCTGCTATTCTCGAAAAGAAAGCCTCGCGCGGCCTCAACCGCAAGCGCACCATTGGCATCTTTGACAAGCTCGCCTGCTGCAAGTCCTGCTTTGTCAACAACTAGCCTCACTCTGCTAAACGAGCCTCCCACCACACCATGCCCGCCCAGCCCTGTCCAATCTCTTCTCTTCTTCAATTGTTATCCTGCAAACTCGATCAGGTCGTGCTCTGCCAGCTCGGCCGCCTCCTGCCGCTTTGCGTGCTTCTCCAGCCGCTCCGTACAAATGTCCTCGATGAACCGCACATGGTTTGGGTAGCCATCGAGGAGCTCGAGCACGTCGTCGCGCCCGACCACCAGGATCTCGCACTGCGTCTTGGCCACAATGTTGGCTGTCCGCGGAATGCCCTTGAACGCGCCGACCTCACCAAAGAACGCGCCCTGGCCCATCGTATCCCACACCGTGGTCATGTCCTCGGCCCGGACCTCGACCGTTCCCGCCCGCAAAAAGTACATCTTGGACGAGATCTCGCCCATCCGCACAATGACGTCGCCGGCGTTAAACGAAATGCCCGGCTTGTGCGACTCCTCCACCACGTGGAGCAAGATCTGCGACCGCTTGTGCTGCATGAACATGACCCAATGCGCCAAGTTCTCATTGATCCGCTCGATGAATGGCTGCAGCTCCGGCAGAAGCTCCGCCGCCTCCTGCCACAGCGGCCGCAGGATGTTCTCGATGAACCCAACTTGTCCGGCCTCAAGCTGCGCCTGGTCGCGGTCCATGAACGACATGACCGGAAGACCCTCAATCTTCTCGCGGTCAGACTGCGCAAAGAACTCCTCCATCAAGTTCGTCGCCCACGGCCGCGACACCCACCACGGCCGCACCTCGTTCGAAATGTCCGAGCAGCACACCATCATCCGACAGAGCCACTCGCGGTGGGTCGCGTCCTCCGGGTTGAACTCGGCCACCACCGCCCGCCACTGCGACCGCTGCGAGAAGTGCTTGCCCATGTCGGTCGAGAGCACGCATGCGATCACCGTCTTGCGCACAAACTTGTAGTCTTCCAGCGACAGGTGCTGTAGGATGTTGCACCGCGGCCGCTGCAAGATTCGAAAGCCCGTAGCGCAGTGATGGTTCTCCAGCACAGACTGGTCGTTGTAGTTGATAGCAAGGTCCGATCGCGAGTTGATGTGGTAGTTGTTGTTGAGCCCACGATGGTCCAAATCGTGGATGATGGTAGCCACCATCACAGACAGCCGCTCCAACGGCGTAAGGAACTATCCCCACTCGCCCATGTTCCCACGCAGTGACAAACCCCGCACCACCACCACCACACCCAGCCACCACCACCACCACACACCCAATACCCACACATACCACACATACCACACATGCCACACATACCACACATGCCACCCACCCACGCATACCCAGTGAGTCCCCACCCCCTTCCCCCCCCCCCCCCCCCCCACTCCACACGCACTGCCATCCGTCCCCATGGCCATGTCCTTTTTTGGGGGCGGGGGGGTTTGTGATCTTCCTGAACTTCCAAACCCAGGGCGGCGGGTTATGAGAGCCAAAAAAACCCCCCCCCCCCCCCCCGCCCCCCTCGTGGGCACACGTACAAACTCAACCTCATCACAGGCATGGATGATGCAATAGAGCATCTGTGTGACACAGAAGCAGTGGTGGAAGTTGTGGAACGGCGTCTCGTGGTAGTTATGGCGGACGGTGTGGAGGAAGGTCTCCAGGATCTCCTCCTCGATCTGGAAGGCCTCCACAAAGCCCTGCTCACGGAACATGTACTCGATGAGGTAGACACACTGCTCACGAGAGTAGTGCCACATGTCAAAGTCCGGTGTCGTTAGGGACTCTTTCACCTCGTCGGTGATAAACGCACGAGGATCATCAGACGTCGCTGCCATCGCCGATTGGGCCGAGTTGCACGAGTCGAGTGGTGCCCGTTTTCACTGCCGCCAGACCGCCCGTCCCCTCCGCCTGCCTTTGCCGCCCACCACTCGCGCGGCCGCTCATCACTCCCTCCAAACATACACAGACTCGTTCACTCTTCTACGCGGTGTAGCTTGCACTGCTGCACTCCCGGCTGCTGCTGCTGCTCGCACGATCGTTGACCGAGTACCAGCCAGATGACGTCCGATCATACCGGTCCGAGTACGACGACTCGCCCGGTCCGCGCGGCTTGCGCGTCATCCCGCGCGACGCGCGATCATGTCGCCGGGCCCGCCGCCGCCGCCACAATCCGCGCACTATCCGGCCGCAGACCAGAACCACAAGCCCGAGCCCGCACGCCGCCCATCCGCCCACGAGAACAAGGCCAAAGAGCTGTGTCGAGACGTCGACAGCGCCAGCGGCGCCCAGAAGCGAGACGAGCGCCGCCCAGCAAACACACCCGTACCCGACCACCGAGAGCCACCGCATTCGCGCCGTCAGTTGCACCGCAGCCTGCGACACACTGTGCGCAACCACTCCGCACCCCGCAACCGCGAGCATCACTCCCGGCGCCCAGGCTGTGCCTGCCGGCGCGTACGTCAGTGCCAACACCCCGGCAAGCTTGCCCACCACCTCAACGACTATCACGTGCGGAACGAGCCGCTCGGTAAGCGTCGGCGGTGCCGCCATTCGCAGATACAGGCCAACGCTCGACGCAGAAAGCGCAAGCAGGACGCCCGCCGCTAGAAGCACCGTCGCGCTCACCCGACCGTCGACCTCCCAGTCGGCGCCGAGCGCGCACAGTCGGAGCAGTGGCACAAGCCCGCCCTGTACTGCCGCAGGCGCCACAAACGACGCAAGCAGCGGAACGACGCCCACAAGCCGCGGTCCGAGCCAAAGCCAGCTCCGCCGCCACGAGAACGCCCGCCACGAGAGCGGCGACCGCGCACCGCGCGCGCCCAGAACGGCCACGCTGAACAGTACAAAGCCGACCCCGAGCAGCCACCACACCCCAAGCCCGGTCAGCAGCAGCACGAGCCCGGTCCCGCGTGGCCGCGCAGAACCGCCTGAAATGCTCTCCAGCACCTGGTGGAGCCCGGCTCCGGCACCCCAGCTCGGCGGATGCACCAGCAGCGCAAGGCCAGCAAGCTGCACAAGCTCCGCAGTCCGTGCACTCAGCGCCACAGCGTTGGCAAACGAGCTCCGCCACGCCACGTCCTTTGGCAGCGGCACCACAAACGCCCGCGGCGACCACGCCACAAACGCGGCGTACTGCGTCACCACAAGTACGCCTGCGCACGCCCATCCGCCCAGCACCGCTGCCATCCGTACTCCCTCCGTCTCGCCCCACCCGCGTGCAGAGACGAGGACCGCCAGCCCCACGCCCACAACCAGGAGCCATGCGTGGAGCCACGTCGGCGAAGCGTGCCACGAAATCGACGAGCACGAGGTGCACGAGCCGGAGCTTCGCGCAAACTCGGTCCGCACTGCGTTCGACAGCCGGTCGCCGCGGCTATTGGCCACAAGCAAGTCGCGCGGCGCCTGCACAGAGCCTTCCGAGTAGCCCTGCAGCACAAGCTCACCGTCGGTCGTCGACCCGTCAGACTGCCACGAGCCTACCCGTGAGAGCAGCGACGACGTAGAGTAGTGCAAAATGTCAAAGGTCGAGACGGAGCCGGACGTCTCGCGCGCCTCCTGCTCCTCGCTCTCGCTCCCCAGCACTGCAGACACATCGCTGCTCGTCGCACCGCCAGGCACAAGATGGGCCTCGCCTGGAATAAACGACAGCCGCGTCCCACCGAGCCTTTCGTCTGCCATGTCCGAGACCAGCGCCAGCGGCTCGCCCCGCCGCACAACAGAGCCCAGCACCGCCGCAGGCAGAACGACCACCGACGCCACAGCCGCAGCCACCGCCCCGGCCCAGAGCCCCGCATATCGCACCGCCCAGATCCGGTTGCGTTCGCGCGAGTACTCGCGCTCCTCCTCTCGGTCCATGCTCCCGCGGAAGGCCACCTCGACGCTCGCGTACTCGCGCCGGATGTGCTCGGCCCACGGCGTTCCGTGCGCAAACCGCAGTGCGTCGCCGCGCCCGCGCACCACGCACTCGAGCGGTGTTAGCCCGCGCGCGTCCTCCGCATACAGCCCGCCCTGCATAGACTCGGGCGCCTCGGCGCCCAGCAGCGAGTTAAGGAGCACCTCGGCTGCAAGCGCATTGCCGGCCGTCCCGATCTCGTGGAGGAGCGAGCCGTAGAACCCGTGCCCAAACTCGGATATTGAGTCCACAAACTGGTACGCCGCGCTCAGCTGCTCGCGAAAGACGGGCAGCCGCGAGCCCGGCCGCGCCGCATGGAGTAGCGCAAGGAGAATCGGCCGCGTGCTCACCGTCAGCGCAGACGCTAGGAGCTCCAGCCCGTTGCGGAGATACGGATCCGAGTGCAGCGTCCGTGAGAGCCAAAACACGCCCTGCGGCACCCCGCCCTCATGCGGCGGCAGTGCCCGCACCATCGCATCCAGCACGTCCGGCGCCGGCAGTGTCAGCCGTCGCCGCCGCGCGTTGACCCCATGCGCCACAAGGACCGAGCTCAGCGCCTCGCCGGCCGCCGCAAAGTAGTCCCGCAGCGGCCGCGACGGCGCAACTGCCAACGACCGCGGCAGCGGCGTCAGCCAGTACAGCGGCGACGCGCCAGCCACTCCGTTCAGGAGCTTGAGCGCCGCCCGATTACCGGCCCGCAGCGCCGCCATCGCCGCCACGTCATACCGCACCGCCACTCCGCGAGCGAGGCACCCACGAAGGAGCAGCGCCAGCATCTCTAGCGGCACAGCCGGTCGCTGCACCCCAAACAACAGCGCCCGCTTGAGCACAAAGTCCTCCACAGACGCACCCGACACGTAATGTGTCGCAAGTAGTGCGGTCGCAAGCTCAACATCGCCCAGCCCAGCCGCAAGATCCAGCAGCGTCGCTGTCGGGTCCGAGAGCGAAACCACGCCGTCGTCCCAGAGCGTAAACGCGTTGCACGCAATGTCCAGCGGCGGGTAAACGTACTCCATGTCGACCACGTACCGGACCCCGTGCGACCGCAGCTCCTGAGTCTCGGTCGTGCCCTCGCCCGAATCGTCCTCGCCCGATCCCCCAAGCGACGATCCGAGCGCGTCGAGCGAGACTCGGTACGAGCCAGCATCGCTTTTGCGCCGCGATCCACCCGACAGCGACGCCGTCGGTGTCGAGACCGACTCGGAGCTTCCGGGCACCGACGAGAGCGCCGAGCTCGAGCTCGAGCCCAGATGCGTGGCATTGAGTGCGCGCCCAGCAGATGCCACAAATGCGTCGGGTGCAAGACCATTGACTTCGGTCAGCGAGAGGTTGCCCTGGACGCCAGCGACTAGCGCTGAGAGGCCCTCCAGCCCAAGCTCGTTGCCACGGGCATCGAGGACCTCGAGCGACGCGTTGGCGGCCAGCGGTGCAAAGAGCGCGCTGGCGCCACACCCGGCCTTGATGGCGTTGTTGGCTATGTTGAGCACCCGGAGAGTCGTGTTGTGTGCCACTGCCCGCCCGAGCGCCCTCAGACCGACAGTCCCAGGCGCCGCCTTGTCGGCCGCAGGGCCAGAGCCAAGCTCATTGCCTGCTGCCTGAAGAATGACCAGAGAAGGGTTCCTCGCAAGCGCACTACCGATTTCCGCCAGCGCCCCGTCGGTCAGCCCAGTCTTGTTGACGTTGAGCTCGGTGAGCGTGCCGTTGAGTGCAAGTGCCCGCGCCAGCGCAGTTCCGCCCTCGCTACCGAGCGTGTTGCCCTCGAGCACCAGCGCAACGAGCGAGGTGTTGAACTGGGCGAGCGCGTGGAAGAGCGGGACCGAGGCCTTGGCCGTGAACCGTGAGTTGTACGCGAGGTTGAGCACCTCGACCTCGCACGTCCGCGACTGGAGGAGCTCAGCCCATGGCGCAGGCGAAGTCGTGTTGTACGCCATGTCAAGCTGCACAAGCGATGGCGCCTTGCCCATGGCGCCGGTGTCTCGGGCTGGGTGTGCCAGCGCACGCACAAGATGCCTCGCGCCCTTGTCACCAATGGCGTTGTCCACAAGGCTCAACCGCCGCAGATCCGAGTGCGGCGAGGCCAGAAGTGCGCCGAGCGCACGCGCCCCACGGTTGTCAATCTCGTTGCCATCCAGCAGCAGCGTCCGGAGCACCGAGTTTGTGTAGAGGCCCTCGACGAGTAGGGTCAGTCCCGCCACCGAGAATGCCGACGCTGAGACGTCCAGCTCCATAACAATAGAAATAGCGTCTTGCGGCGCGATCGGCAGCACAGGCTCGGGGTCCGAGTCAATCTCGATCGCATCTGTGGAGAGGTAGGTTGCCAAAAAGGCCAAGTCAGCGTCAGTCACTCCGAGACCCGACACATCCACCGTCGTCACCGCATCCGAGAGGAACAGATACTTGATAGACTGCGGCAGCGACTGCTCCGCAGAGCCAAGCGAGACTGTATGTTCAAACATCGACGACGAGTCGACATGGTCGGACCGAGGCACATGTGCCTTGGCCTGGGCCGGAGTCGGGCTTGGCGACAGCGACGACGACGACGACGACGACGACGACGACGACGACGACGAAGCAGAGCTCGAGTTTGCACTCCTCAGTCCTGCATTTAGCTGCTTCTGCTTGCTTTGGCCAGTGGAGGAGAAAGTGGAAGAAGAGGTTGACGTGCTCGAACTTGAGCTCAAACCGGTGGATGCCCGCTGCCGCCGCCGCCGGCCACCACCACCAGTCGCTGTTGGCGACAACTTTGTCAACGAGGAGGAGGAGGAGGAGGAAGAAGAAGAAGAAGAGGTGGTGGTCGAAGATAAAGACGATGCAAGCTTGCCCACAGAAGTAGAGCCTGCATCAGGTATGCCCATGTCTCCTGCAGTGGAGAAAGGTATTGTCCCGGCGGGGGGCGGGGGGGCGGGGCGGGGAGGGGGTCGACAGAGACGGGCGCACTACCAGTATTCGACCAGCATCTGCCCAGTACATCTGAAGCATACTCGGCTTTGGTTCCATGGCCCGATCCATCCATGGGATGAATAATCCTCTTCATCAGCTCTCATACGGGAGAATCCAGTTGCTCATGGCCTGGCCTGCCTAGCTCGACCGAGTCAGCTGACACTCACCATTATCTCTCGTCGCCATGATTGGGTTTCGTCAGACACACCCCTCTTGCTCAATCACACACACACACACGCACCGACGCACAGTCCAGCCATGGAGGAGCTGTGGAACAAGCTCGACGAGATGGCAGTCAAGGACCCAGAGACTTATGCAAAGCTGGTGGCGTCGGCGGCGGCGGCAGAGGAGGATGGCGACGCCAAGGGCGGGTTGAGCGGGCAGGGCAGCAGTGGCAAGGGGGTGTTCATCGCGCCGGATCCGGGGCTGGTGCTCAAGATGGCGCTGCCGGGTGGAAAGGGCAAGCTGTTTGTCAACGTCTGCTCACACGAGCGCATCGAGCCGCCGGTGCCCATGACGCCGGCGCAGGCTGCTACGCGCGGCATCGACCTCGACGCCCTGCCCGCGTCAGACGTGCCGATGCGGTATCCGCTGTCGTCGGGCGAGCTGCGCGAGGCGGTGGACAAGTCAGGCAAGCCGTGCAAGGTGTGGGACGTGGTCCTCAATCCGCTGGCTGTCGACGAAGCTCGCGCTGCGCCTGACAAGGCCTGGTTCATTGCACAGCTCGTCCTGCAGACCTGCGAGGGCAAGCACGCGCTCGGCATCGACCTCGACTCTCTCGCCATCACAGACGTCAAGTTCCTCAAGAACCGCAAGTACTGGGACCTCCCTGTCCGCCCGCAGTATATTGCAGACCGCGCCGCCGAGCGCGCAGGCACCTCCCCGGCCATCATCACCTCCGAGGTCGCCGCCAACGAGGCCGCCACCGGCGAGGCTCTGCTCTCGGCCTCCAAGTCCAAGGTCCTCTCTTCGCGGCCGAATTCCACGGCCAAGGCCAAGGCTGGGCCGACGCCGCTGGCTCCAGTCATGGACGTTGTGCCGGGGCCGACCGGCGCGCCAGCCAAGCTTGTCATCACCATCGACGTCTCGGCCGCCTCCGCCCCGTCCGCTCGGCCGCCGACCTCGCGCTCTCGCTCGACCTCTCCAGTTGCGTCCTCTCGATTGCACCGGCACCGCAGCTCAAGCTCGGCAGCGTCTCGCTTGATCTTCCGTTTGCTGTCGACGGCAACCGGGTCATGGCTCAGTTTGACCGTGCCTCGACTACGCTCACCGTCCGCATGCCTGTTGTCGGCCGGCTCACCGCGCCGCAGTAAGCGTGGATCGTTGTACAAGGCAGCGACATTTACTTGCGGCCTCTACCATCCTTGGAACGCTTGTTGTTGCTGTTGCGCGAGCGCTTTCTGTTGCCCCCGCCGCTTCCGCTGTTTCCGCGGCGGCGGCCGCTGCGACGGTCACCACTGTTCCCACCGTTGTTGCTGTGGGTCGACGACGTCCGCCGTCGCCCACCCTGCGCCGATGACGACGAGTTGGTCCGCCCACGCCCGCCACCGTCTTCACCGTCCTTCTTGGGTGGCGCCTCGTAGTGGAACTCGCGCTCGGGCAGGATGGCGCAGAGGACGTCCATAAACCCGTCCGGGCTGCGGTCCGGCGTATGCGGGGCGCGGGTGAGGTAGCCAAACAGCAGGTTATATGCCCGCACAAACTCCGAGTGGACCAGCTCCCAGTACTCGCCCGAGACCATGGCCGTCAGGTTGTGGTTGAGCTCGAACGGGTCTTCCACTGCCAGCATGGCCGACTCCCACGACTTCTCGGCCTTGGTCAGCGAGTGCCCGAGTTCGCGCCGGATGCACGCCACGTGCGTCTCCACCGGGAAGCTGTTGGCGTAGTAGTCAAAGAAGCCAAGCAGCAGCTGCGCCGCCGGCGCCGCATTAGCCCCCACCGGAAACGCCGTCCGGACTGCAGGCAGCGAGTTGCAAAAGTACGTCTCATACCCGTTGATCCGCACCGACGGCAGGCTTGGGTCACGCGACTCGTCGCGCTTCCACGAGTCGTCAAAGACCCGCGGCTTGGTCACCTCGTCTTCGGCCTTGTCAGACCCAGAGTCCGAGCCCGAGCCTGAGCGCGAGCCCGAGTCCGCACCGCCAGCTTCGTCACCGCCGCCGCTTCCGGCCTTCTTGCCCTTGTCTTTGCGCGCGGGCACCTTACCCTTCCCCTCCTTGCCGCTCTCGCCCTCCGCTGCTGCATCCGGTGTCGGCGGCGGGCGCGGCTTGCGCACCGGATCACCGCCTTCGGTCGAGCCGCCGGGCATGGTCTGCAAGACTGGAAGCACCGGCGGGACGAGGCCGGCCTGGAGGTAGTGGAAGAGCATGATGGTAAGGGCGTACGAGGAGAGCGTGCGCTTGGCGGCGTCGTTGATCTTGCGTGCCTTGCCCCAGTACTTGATGGTATACATGAGGTCGCGAACACGCTCGTCGAGCGAGGCGTAGCACTTTTGCAGGCGAGTGTTGCGGAGTGCGAGCGAGTTGCCGATCGAAAAGTCAACCGAGAGGCCCGAGTCGACATGAACAAACTTGATGAGCGGAATCTTGACGCCAGTAATCCACTTGACGTCGCGGGCAAACTCGGGTGCTGCTCGCATCTTCTTGCCCAGCGTGTTGATGACGTTCGAGATGACGTTCGACCGCGCAATGCGGTTGCGCGGCAGCCGCATCTCCATGCTCACATCCACGTCAGACGACCGCGACCCGAACCCGTTGGCCGACGATCCGAACAGATGCAGCGACGAGGTGGAGACGTACCCGCGCCGCAGATTCGGCATGGCATCCTCCACAAACGCATGGACCGCGTTGCACACTGCCTGCCGCATGCTCTCGTCCGACGGCCGCGGCTCGATCGACTCCTTCAGCCGCGCCATCAGCGCCGCCAGCCCGGCCGCCCGCTCCGGGTCCACAGCCACAAGCTCGCACGCCAGCTCCTGCGCCTTGCCTGCATACTCGGCTGCTGCAACAGCATAAGCCGCCTTGGCCTCGACTAGCTCGGCAGCCGCAGCTGCAGCCGCCTCGTCGTCGCCATCGCCATCGCCATCGCCATCGCCATTGCCATCGCCATCACCGGCTCTCTCGCCGGCTTGCCCGCCAGCTGCGGCTGCCGGCGCGGGCTCGGGTGCGAGACGCGGGGCCGGGCCGTGACGGTACTGGCAGTACAAGCCATGAGAGCACCAGCCCATTACAGCCTCCTGCACGCAGAACGGGCGGGCCGAGTCTGCCAGGTGCCGCGGAGGAGGGTACGCCTCGCTGGGCCCCTCGCTACCCGGGAGGTGGTGGTGCTCGAAGCGACACATGCCCAGTCGTCCGAGCGAGGCGCAGCCATGGCTGGTGACGTTGTCCATGCACGCCCTTCCGGGCATACCTCCTTGCATACCTCCAGTCTCCATCTGTGTGTGAGGGGGGAGAGGGGGAGGGGGGGGGGGGGGGAGAGAGAGAGAGAGAGAGAGAGAGGTGGCGAGGGGAAGGAGTGCGCGGGTGGCCCCTGGTCGCGGTCGAGTCGTCGCAAGCCGCGACTCACTCTTCCACTGCCCACGACGACCGCCACGGCCGCACATCGGTGGTACAGCGCAATTAGCGACAATTAGTGCGACAAACTATCAGCGCTGGCTTTAATTGGAGTCGAGGCGTGCTATGATGTTGCCGCTTCATTCGATGTCGCCGCTAACGACGCGGCAGCAACATGCGATGCGGCATGGCTGGTGACGTAGGTGCGGCGCACATCAGCGAGGTGGGCGCGGAAAGCGGCGAGGCGGGCGTAGCGCGCCCGCTCGGCAGCAGGCGCCGTGGACAGTGGCGAATCAAGCTGTGGCGGGGGCGGCGCAGGGAGTGATCCGGTGAGGCGCGCAGTCTGGAAGCGGACAATGACGCCGACAATGTCCCAGAACGAGAGATCAGGCCAGAGGACAGAGAGAAAGGCAAGCTGGGCGTGTCCAGCCTGATAGAGCAGAAAGTTGGAGAGCCTGATCTCACCCGACGTCCGCACAATAATGTCCGGATCGGACCCGGTTGCCAACGCCATGTGGACGGCGGTCTCGTCGACATCGTCGGCATCGAGAACGCCATCGCGGACAGCAGCAGCAACCGCAGCGCACGCCGCCGCCATCTCATTGGTCGAGGTGTACGAGAAGCACACGTTGAGCGTGAGCTCCGAGTACTGCGACGAGTACGCCTCCACGGCACACATGACGTCGCGCAGCGAGGCCGGAAGCAGGTCCAGATCGCCGACGACCCGGATGTGGACCTTGTGCCTGTCGATGAACGTCCGCTGCTCCAGCAGCTCGCGGAACTTGGCTTCGGCGAGCGTCAGCAGGTCGTCGACCTCCTCCTGCGTCCGCTTAAAGTTGTCGATCGAAAAGGCGTAGACCGAGACGGTCGTCACCCCGAGCTGGGCGCACCATTCGAGCGTCTGCGTCAGCTTGGTGTAGCCGCGGGCATGGCCCTCGATCCGCGGCAGCTGCTGCGAAGATGCAAACCGTCGGTTGCCATCCATGATAAACGCAATGTGTTTGGGGATCGGACCCTGTCCCAGCACCTAAAACCATTCCCATCATTCGACCATCCCCCCCATTCCCTCACGTCAGTCATCTCTCGCCTCCCTCCCCCCCCCTCCCCCCGGCCGCCTCCCTCCTGCCCATCCCTGACCTCACCCCCCCCCCCCCCCCCCAACCACCACCACCACCACCATGCCCAAAACACAGCCCTCCACATCAACACACAACCACAGAACCACCACACATACCGCTCCGGCAAGAGCCCGTAGCCATCCAGGGGCCAGCTGCTTGAGAGATGCCCACATCTGCCGTGTGGACAAGGCAAAGGGTGGCTGGCTGGCCGAGAGCGAGAGAAGCGTGGCTTGGACTGCGCCGCCAAACGCGCTTCGACAAGGAGAAAGACGAGCGGATGCCAGGCTGGCTCGATCACAGTCTCGCACGATCCATGCCTACAAGGACCCATCTAATGAGGGTGACGGCATCCTGCGGCGGAAGCTGCCGCCTAATCGCAGATCTACTCTTGCACGGGCTTCGATGCTTGGCAGCCTACCGCTGCTTCGTCACTCTGTGGCTTTAACACTGTCGCTCACCAACTCCTCCTCAGGACCTCAGGAATTGAACTAGGGTCAAGCCATTTCATTAAGCATCGGAAGCGTCGGCAGCGGCCGCAGGGCCGGCAGCAGTGCCGGCATCGGCGGAGTTATCAGCGGCGGCGCTGGCACTGGCGCCAGCATCGGTGGCAGCCTCGACAGCGTCATCGTCATCATCATCATCGGCGGCAGCCGGCGACGTCTCCGGCTTGCCTTCGTTGGGCATGGCCTCGAGGATGGACTGTGCGATGTCGGTGTGGTCGGCGGCGGCGGCGACGGTGAAAGCAGTGCGGCCGTTCGAGTCCTTGAGGGTGGTGTCGATGCCATTGACGCCGAGCAGCATAGCCACAACCTCGGCATGCCCGTTGAGCGCCGCCCAGTGCAGTGCCGTCGCGCCCGATGTGTACGCCAGGTTGGGATTCGCCCCAGCATCCAGCAGTGCCCGGACCACCTCCACATGCCCGTTCCCGGCTGCCAGCAGCAGCGCGCTCTTGCCCATCGCGTCCGTCACGTTAACATCCACTCCCTCGCCAATGAGCGCAACCACATCATCATCTGTAACCATCCGCCCACCCGCCATCCACCATCGCCGTCAGTCAGCAGCCGCTTCCCGCCACAGCCTCATCCCGCTCTGTCCCTCCCCCCCCCTCCTTCTGCGCAAGCTGCCATCGCCATCCGCCGCCCACTCCCTCCTCCCCTCGCTCCCCCTCTCTCCTCCCTCCCACACACTCTCCCCTCCTCCCACCCGCCCACTTACACTCGTTATACCGCGCAGCATCCCGCAGGTCATCGGCAGACATGGTCTCTGTCCTCGAGACGGGTGTGCCGGCTTTGGCTGGCTCGTGCTGTTGCTCGTGCTGCTTGCCTGCCGCCGACCGCTCGTCGTTTGCGTCGGCAAATGGCTCGGGCGATGGCGTCCGTAGGCGGCAGCTATAGCGCTGCACAGGCCCATGCATGGGCCTCTCCCAGGACGACGGCTGGTCCCGTGCTTGGTTGACAATCCCAATCTCTGCGATGAGCACCTAGACGAGCAGCAGCGTCTTGGTGCGGCGCGATTCCGGATCCGGGCCCCATCACTCCCGGTAGAGACATCGACAGCAGCACAAGCTGCAGGCTTCCACCCTGAGCGTACACAACGTGTCAGTGCTATCGATTGCAAGGGCGAGTGGCAGCTGGGCAGGCGCTCTAGGCTGGGGTCGAGGCCAGACCAGAGTGCGAAAGACTCGTTTTTTTCGGGGGAGGCTGCTCCTCGGCACGCACCTGTACCGCCAACGCCAGCTGCGGCCAGACACCGGCAAGGACGCGGCATACCACACTCTATACTTCCAAGCAACATACACATGCGCGGCACTTTGAGGGAATGGCAGATGGCGGTGGCAGTGATGAGTGTGGCGTTCTTGCTGGCGACGGGCGGTAGTGCGGCCGATGTGGAGGTGTGGAAGATGGCAAGCCAGGAGAGCGCGACGCCGACGATGGCCATAGCGGCGTCAGCGAGCAAGATGTACGTGCTCATGACGCTGCGGTACACGCCGCCACCGCCGGCACCGGCCGGCCCGGCCAACGCCGCCAAGCTCGGCGTGTGCGAGCTCGACGGCTCGGCGTGCACCACGGTCGACGTGGTGGCGCCGATTGTCTCGCCGGATACGGCGTGGGGCACGTCGATGGCGGCGATGGTGGCTAGCGACGGTACGTTCTTTGGCGCTTTTGTTGCCGGCACCTCGAACGCCATCTTTACGGTGGTGTGCTCCGACGAGGGATGCGCAAGCCCAACGGTGACCCAGCACGGCGCGGCGCTGTCGACCGGGACCAACAGCCTCGCGCTCAGCATCGGGCCGGACGGCGAGAAGCTGGTCTGGTTTGCAGGCGCCAATGGGGTGCGGCACCTCGACTGCCACGAGCCGGCGTGCTCGACGGCGATCATGACTACTAAGATCATCTACCCGACGCTCGCGCGTGGGCTGGCTATTGTGCCGCGCCAAGGCTCTGGCTTTCCGCAGCTCACCTTTCTCACCACCTCGCTCCGGCCAGGGTGCTCGAACGCTATCGACGGGCTGGCTACCCTTCTCTGCTCCAACGCAACTTGCTCCACCGCGGACATCTTCACCGTGGCCGACGGGATCGGCGACTGTGGTGCGAGCGCGCCGGAGGTTGGCGATGCTGTCGGCATCGCCAGCAACCCGACCCGGCTGACTTTCTACAACGCCACGATGGGGACGTACCGCATTGCCGAGTGCGCGACGGAGCAGTGCCTTGGCGCGCAGCTGTACATCGTGCCGGCGCCAGCACCGGTGACGCCTGCAGTCGGCATCGCTACGGTCTCGGGCGCATCGTCGGCGGTGTTTGTCGACGCGCCGGCCAACGGCGGAAAGGGTTACTCGGTGTGGGAGTGCGCGAGCGCGTCGTGTACCTCGAGCACGCTGCGCGGAAGGACGACGACGGTGGCAGCGCCGGCGATTGCAGCCTCATACGCGGTGGCGGCTGCGAGTACGAGTACGACTGCGGTGGCGTACGCTGTCATCAGCGACAGTGACGTCGCCATCAACCTCGCCGTGCTCGCGGACACCACGCTCGTGTCATCGGGGACGAGCACGACTGCCAGCGGAACGTCGGCAACGTCGTCAGGCGCGAGCCCTGCGTCGAGCGGAGCAGTGTGGTGGCAGGTGGCGGCAGCGGTGGGTGGGGCGATTGCGCTCGCGCACGGACTTGCCTAGGATAACACGCGGTTCATTTTTCCTTCACCAGCCTGCGAGAATACTACACCTCTGCGTTGAGCTTGACAGTAATGACCGAGACGTTGTCGGTGGAGCCGAGGTCGATGGCCTCCTTGACGACGGCCTCTGCGGCTTGCTGAGCCGATGCAGCGCGGGAGCAGGCGGCGACAACCGACTCGGGGCTCATGACGTCGTAGACGCCGTCGCAGGCAAGGACAAGCCATGTTTCAGTGCCCGTGAGAGTGATGGTGGTGACGAACGGGTCGGAGAGGACGATCTCCTTCATAGGCAGGTTGCCGAGTGAGCGGGTGACCGAGACCATACCGTTGACCTTGCCGCGGGCCACAAAGCCGCCGGACGTGGTGATGCGCTCGACCTCGACGGCGTTGTCGGGCGTGTGCAGTGGGTGAATGATCATCGGGTCCGAGGTGGTGGAGGCGAGGAGTGCGCGCGAGTCACCAACATTGGCCAGGTGCAACAGCTTGACGTCGCCGAGTCGCTCGAGGACGACGACGAGGGCGGTAGTGCCCTGGAACATGACTGAGTCGCCCTCAAATACCATGTCCGAAGCGGTGAAGGCGTCCTCGAAGATCTCGCGCGGATCGCGCCGGCCGATCTCGTTGCCCACAGCCTGAACCACAAAGTCCGAGGCGAGCTTGGAGCCGTCGGCGCCGCCGTGGCCGTCGAAAACAGCGACGAGCGACCGCGAGCCGTCGGGTCCAAACGACGGCTCGACAACCGTCACGTCCTGCATCTCAGAGCGAAAAGCGGTGTTGGCATCGTCGGCGCAGCCAAAAGCGGCCGAGCGGACGGCGGGCGAGTCGTTGGGCACGCCAAAGAACGGTTTGACAGCAAACTTGCTCAGCAGAACAAGGTACGGCGAGTCTGACTCGAGCAGATCGTCGTCCGAGAGGCCAATGTCCGAGAACTCATCCAGGTTCGGCCTGTTCTTGTTTCCGCCGCAGGCAGCAATCGAGAGGCACGACATGGTGTGGCCGAGGGTGGAGGCAGGCTAGAGCTCGGCTGTGGTGGGGTCAATATTGGTCCGACAAGCGGGTGGAAAGGGATCGATCAACGCGGCTAAGGGCAAACAGGAGCGAGGGAGAGTGGGGAATGGGGAGCGGGAGCAATGACTTTGTAACTCTGCTGAGTTGCGGCTCGAGGGAAAAGACAACGCCAGAGGTAGCAAGCCTGTGTATTGGCGAGGTAATCAGCTACAGCTCGTGGTTGAACTCGGGAGGCCTCCTGGGGTTGGCGGCAACAGCGGAGATCAACGTGGAACAATAGTCGAGTATGCTAACAGAGCTTTTCAGTTCAATATCGTGTCCCGCAAAAAGGCAAGACGGACCCAATAACTGAGTATGCCATTTGGGGGGGAGGAGGACAGTCCTATTTTTTTTCCTCCCCCCCCCCCCCCCACAAACGAAACTAGGCTGTAGTTTGGTCGTAGGGGGGGGGAGGGGGGGAGGGGGCAGCGAGCGAGCGAGCCGCCAAGGCCGACTAGCAAGAATCGCGCTAGCCGGCCGGCCGGCCAGCCGCCCATGGCTAGCGGCTACAACGAGAAGGTGGGAGCAGGGGCACGAGGGAGAACGGGGGACGGCGACACTTGACTTGGAGATGGCGGCCGAAGCAGGGGACATAGACTATGAGAAGCACCCGTCGGGCATCATCCCGACACTGCAGTATGTTGTCGGCGGAGCGGTGGGCAGGGGGCTCGGAATGGGCGAGTGGCAGTGGGCGCGGGACGGCGGCCGGCCATCCGGCGAGGCGGGGGAAGCGGGGAGTTGGACGGCTGGTATGCGAGCTAGAAGACACGGAGACGCGAGACACGGCACACGGCGGCTACATGGGGATGTCAGCGCGGGTTGCGCGGGTTGGGGGAGGGGGCGTGGGCGGGGAGAGGGCGGTGTGGCTTGCCGTGGCGACGCAGGCGCCGGCTCATTTTTTGGACGACACGGGTCGTTCGCCTCGGCGACGTTGGTGGCACTCGAGTCGACTCACGCGGTGAGAGGATGCGGGAACAGGAACATTGTGTCGACTGTCGACCTCAAGACCTCGCTGGATCTGAAGAAGATTGCACTGCATGCCCGTAATGCCGAGTACAATCCCAAGGTAAGTGTGGCGCGGGAGTGATGCGTGGGCGGAGAGGTTATCGCGCAGGGTGGCGAGACTCATAACGGGAGCCGCGCTTGGGCGACGAGGACAGCGGTTTGCAGCAGTCATCATGCGGATCCGCGAGCCTAAGACGACAGCGCTGGTGTTTGGGTCGGGCAAGATGGTGGTGACTGGCGCCAAGTCGGTGGAACTGGCCAAGCTGGCCGGGCGCAAGTACGCGCGCATCATCCAGAAGCTGGACAACCCGGCCAAGTTTGCCGACTTTAAGGTGCAGAACATTGTTGCGTCGTGCGACGTCAAGTTTGCCATCCGCCTGGAGGGTCTTGCGTACGCCCATGGCGAGCATTCGTCGTACGAGCCGGAGCTGTTTCCGGGCCTCATCTACAAGATGTTCGCGCCAAAGGTTGTGCTCCTCATCTTTGTCTCCGGAAAGATTGTGCTGACCGGAGCCAAGACCCAGGACGAGATCTACGAGGCTTTTGAGACCATTTACCCTGTGCTCTCCGAGTTCCGCAAGACCTAGTCTTGCTCAGCTGCGTCCTGCTTGGGTGTCTGGTCGCCTGGTCGCCCCCTCCCCTCCCTCCCCTCCCCTCCCCTCCATCATCACTTCAACGGCGTGCTCGCGCACTGCGGCGCCATGCTTAAACGCCGTTGGAGTTGCACCCGTGCTTAAAACCCCGTGGTCCCAGCCGAGTGGCTGACGACAATCACTGCCTGGCGCAGAAGGTTGGCCCGAGCCGGGCCGAGCCGCCACCGGACAACAGACACGCTCTCAACACCCCTCTCTATCTCCCCGCCCCTCTCTCCAGCCGTCCTCGACACTCCCAAGTTCATACATGTCGTCCAGCAAGTCATCGTCCATGCCTGCGCCGCACCGGCTGCGGACCGGCCTGCACCACCCGGTCCTCCGCACGTGGCAGAGTGAGGCCGAGGTGACGCTCGCTGACATTGTGTACCCAATCTTCCTCACTGCGCCACGCGATGCCAAGGAGGAAATTGCGGCGATGCCGGGCCAGTTCCGGCTGGGCGTCGACGTGGTTGTGGACCACCTTGCGCCGCTGGTTGCTGGCGGCCTGCGTGCGCTGCTGCTCTTTGGCGTCTTGCCGGATGACGCGTGCGCCAAGAAGGACGGCACGGCGTCGTACGCCGACGCGGCAGACAACCCGGTCATGGAGGCGCTGCCGCTGCTCCGGAATGCTTTTCCGGACGTCCTCCTCATTACCGACGTGTGCATGTGCCCCTACACCGACCACGGTCACTGTGGCATCATCGAGAACGAGTACGTGTGCAACGACGCGTCAGTGGCCCGGCTCGCCGAGATCGGTGTCTCGTACGCTCGCGCCGGCGCGCACGTCCTTGCGCCGTCCGACATGATGGACGGCCGTATCGGCGCGCTCAAGGATGCGTGCATCGCCGCAGGCCTCGAGCAGGTCTCAGTCATGTCGTACTCGGCCAAGTTTGCGTCGGCCTTCTACGGCCCGTTCCGCTCGGCGGCAAAATCAGCACCTTCATTCGGCGACCGCCGGACCCACCAGCTTCCGCCCGGCGCCAAGCGCATTGCCAACCGTGCCCTCGTCCGCGACATCCGCGAGGGCGCCGACATCCTCATGGTCAAGCCGGCCATGCCGTACATGGATCTCATCCAGGACGCCGCCGCCCAGTCGTCGCTCCCGGTTGCCTGCTACCAGGTCTCCGGCGAGTTTGCCATGATCTACCATGCTGCCGCTGCTGGCGCCCTTGATCTCAAGGCTGGTGTCCTCGAATCGCTGACCTGCCTCAAACGTGCTGGAGCCACCATCCTTATCACCTACTTTGCCCCGCAGCTTGTCGAGTGGCTTGGCTCGTCCGAGTAATCGCACTTTGCCGAGCTCAGCCACCTTTGGCGCCGCTGCTCTTCGTAAAGCCAGCCCTTTGTTGACGAGACGAGGTCATGAGCCTCGCGCAGCGCGCCTAGCCTCGCCGCCTACGACAGCACCGAACTCTGGGCCTCGCTCCTCCCTCGGCCAAACACGCAACTCGGGCCATGTCTTTCCTTGACTCGGACTCGGACGACGGAGGCGCGTTCCTCATGCCGTACCAGTACGCAACATAGGGGAGGGGGGGGGGGGGGGGGGGGAGGGGGTGGAAAGGGGAAGGTGACTTACGCAGGCGTGACATGCCATTCATTAATCGACGCGTGCTCTTGACGCGGCTTGGGACTGGGACTGGGCCTGGGCCTGGGCTCGGGACGGGGTATGGGACTGGGCATGGGACTGGGACTGGGCCTGGGCCTGGGAATGGCGGGGGGATTGGGCGAGGTGTGGACAGGACGACCATTCCGAGTCTGGCGGGTGCAGGAGGCACAAACAAGGGCTTTGCCAGCGGTCACGGACTAGACATGGCCAATCCATTTGGCGGCGACGGTGAGAGCGACGATAGCGAGCTTGACAACCCGTTTGCTGACGGCGACGACAAAGGCGATGACGGCGACGACGACGAGTACGGGAACCCGTTTGCCGATGCTGTGCCACAAGTGTCGGTCGCAGCGCGTGCTCGGGAGCAGGCGCAGGCACAGAGAGGCGCAGCCGGACGGGGCCGGGTGGCGAGCCCAAAGGGCGACGAGGAGGCGGCAAACCCGTTTGCGGCGGCTGATGCTGCCGATAGCGCCGCCAATGACGACCAAGTTGACAGCAATCCGTTTGCCAATCCATTTGAGTCGCCTGGAGTGGCAGCTGCCAAGAGTCGTGCGAGGTCCGGGACACCTGGCGGTGACGACGGCGAGTATTCGTACTACACCGACGACGACGAAGACGAGGCTGTTGCGGCGAGCCCAGCCAGACCTGCAGGCCGGAGCGAGACGAGTGTAGAAGCTGCGGCGAGCTCGGCGAAGGCTGCCGCTGCCGTTGTTGGCAATGGCGATGGCGATGGCCTAGATGCGCTGCCAGCCGAGCTGGTTCCCGAGGGCTACGAAGGCCGGCTCATCACTGTGCAGCCACTGGCGGGCACGTTTGACTCGGAAGACAGCTCGGGAAGTGAGAGTGCGGCGACGGCGGCCAAGAAGCTCGGACGCAAGCTCGGCTCATCGCTCGGGCTCTTCAAGCACACGGTGTACACAGTGCGGACCGAACAGCACTCGAGGGTGATGGAGGTGGAGCGGCGGTACAAGCACTTTGACTGGCTCTACCAGCAACTGTCGGAGGCGTTCTCGTTCCGACTTGTGCCGACGCTGCCGGAGCGCAAGTTCTTCGGCCGGTTTGCCAAGAACTTTATCGCGCGGCGGCGGGCCGGCCTGGAGTCATTCCTCAACTTTATCGCCAACCACCCGATAATGTGCCGGAGCTGGGCGCTCGAGGCCTTTCTCACCACCATGGACAAACGCGAGTGGGAGGCGATCATGGCCGGAAAGGTGCCTGGTGGCGGCGACCTCGGCAACACGCTTGGGCTTCCGAGTGGCGGCGTGACCGAGTATCTCACGCCCGCACTGCGGATCCGGGCCGAGGCTATGGCGGCCAAGGTGGCCGGCTACCAGGCCTTCATCCGCGCAGCGCAAAAGACGTCGGAGCGGCGCGAGGCGCGGATCCGTGAGGATGTGGAGGACATGCACATCTTCGCCGAGGCGCTCCATGGCGCACTCGACGACTCACACCAGCCTGTGGCCCACGATGCGCCGCAGCTGGTCCACGCGGGTATCTGGGTCCGCAATCTCGACCGCGAGCTTGACGGCTACTCGAGCGCCGTCACCGACGAAGTGTGGTCGTACCAGGGCCTGCTCGGCACCGCCATCGGCATCGCCAACGGCATGGCCAACGCCGTCGCTGCGCGAGACAAGCAAGCCGAGGCGACGAAGGCACTCTCCAACGCGGCCGCCACCGCCCGAAGCAAGGCTCTCCAGGCGCCCGACGATCTCGCTGCTGAGGACGTGGCGCGCAAGCTGGAGGCCCAGGTCACCGCCGCCCGCGCCGATGCCGACATCGCCCTCTACTGCGTCTTGCAAGAGTGGAAAATCTTCCACGAGTACCAACCGCAGGTTGTCTCGCAGATCATGGAGCAGTACGTTGTCGGCGAGTCGGCCTCGCTTCCCGAGCGGGTCCGCAAGCTCTGGTTCGACACGCTGCCGTAGGTTTGTACGCAAAAACAATTTGGTTGTCGTTCATGTCGAAAAGAGAGAGGGGGGGGGGGGGGGGGGGGGGCTTTGGCCCGGCACATCGGTTTTTGCCGGCACGTGCGCCAAGGCGACGCGACTGCATTCAGACACAATGTTCAGTCGATTTCACCGCGGCGCGGAAAAATGACTCGACAACGGAGCACCGGGAGGGGAGAAGAGCGGGGGAAGCGAGAAGGAGGGGGGGTGGGAGTGGGCCGGTAGGGAACACCGGCACTTCTCGTTGCACAGTGTAGGAGAGGCGCTGATAGGTGGAGGAGGAGGCAAAACAGCATGAGCGACCAGAACATCAAGCGGAAGGCGTCTGTGCTGAGCAAGCCCACCCGGGTGAGCCCGGTGACGGACCCGCTGGCGGGTTCGGCGTCGACGGCTGGGGCCGGCAACGGAGTTGGCGGCTCGACGTCGCAAGGCTCCGGAGAGGCGCTGACCAACTCGCTCTCGACCGAGTCGTTGGGCTCGACCGACGGGCGGACGGGAGCGGCGAGAGGCTCGCAGGGCGCGGGGCGAGGGCCGGGGAGGACGCCGCAAGCTGCCGGGGCCAGCGGGCGTGTTTTTGCGGCAGACGGGCGAGCGGCCGACGAGCCGGCTGACGATGAGGTTGGTGAGTTGAGCGAAGGCGAGCGAAAGGGTGAGAGCTCCCGGTTTGTGCGTGTGGGCGAGCCGAGCGAGGCATATGCCGGCAACGCTATCCACACCTCCAAGTACACGTGGTACTCGTTCCTTCCGCGCAACTTGTACGAGCAGTTTCGGCGAGTCGCCAACGTCTTCTTCCTTGCGGTTGCCATCCTTCAGCAGATCCCGGGCGTCTCGCCGACGGGCCGCTACACCACCATTCTCCCGCTCGGGCTTGTTCTGTTTGTGACAGGCCTCAAGGCAGCGATCGAAGACTGGCGGCGGCACCGTTCGGACAAGATGACCAACGCGACGCCAGGCCGGGTTCTGAGGTGGAAGGCAAGCTCAGGGGCGGAGAGCAGGCGGCGGAGCGGCCGTGCTGGCGACGATGATGGGTACCACGGTGCCGACTCGTCGCATCCAGGTCTCAACAACGTCGAGTCGCCCGAGTGGGAGTCTGTGGCGTGGTCCGACATTGTGGTGGGCGATGTGGTCCGGGTCGAAGCCGACGAGACGTTTCCGGCAGACATGGTGTTGTTGGCGTCGTCGCGGGTCGACGGGACGGCTTCGGTGGAGACGGCCAACCTCGACGGCGAGACAAACCTCAAGCAGCGGCGGTCGCTGGAGCAGACGGCGCACCTGCAAGACGCCGAGGAGCTGGCGCAGTTTTGCGTGGCCGGCGTCAGCATCGAGTACGAGCTCGCGTCGCCCGTTGTGCACCGGTTCTCGGGCAACGTGCACATGCCGCGGCTGGGGCGCGGGCCGACGGGCGAGCGGCAGTGGCAGTCGCAGGCCTCGGACGTGGTTCCGGCTCTGTGAGCCAGATCATGCTGCGCGGGTGCCAGCTGCGGAACACCGAGTTTGTGCATGGAGTGGTGCTGTACGCCGGACACGAGACCAAGCTGATGCAAAACTCGACAGCGCGGGTCTCCAAGATCTCCAACGTGGAAAAGGTGGCCAACTACCAGATTGTGCTCATGTTTGTGCTCGAGATCACACTCGCGGCCCTGGCGGCGATGGGCTCGGGCATCTGGATTTCGGCGGCGAAGAAGGACAACACGACGTATCTCGGGCTCCACGATGTCGAGCCGACGCCGTACGCCTTTTCCAACTTTTTCACCTTTTTCATTCTCTTCAACAACCTCATTCCGATCTCACTCTACGTCTCGATGGAGCTTGTCAAGTTTGGGCAGGCCTACCTCATCTCGTCCGACTTGACCATGTACCATGCGGCGTCGGATACACCTGCCGAGGCGCTGACCTCGGATCTCAACGAGGAGCTGGGCCAGATCCAGTACGTGTTTGCCGACAAGACCGGAACACTGACGGAGAATCTCATGGCGTTTGCCGGCATTTCTATCGACTCTGTCATGTACGGCTCGCTCCCGAGTGGCAACAAGAACTCGCGCGGGCCTCAACACGATCTTGTGCCGCTCTCGCAGCTCAAGGCCTCGCTTGCGGTCCGCGACGCATCGTCACCTCACTGGAAAGCGCTGCTCACGCTCGCGCTCTGCCACACCGTTCTTCCGTCTGCCGACGCCAGCCATGACGAGGCGCTGGGCGAGACGCTGGCGGGGCATGCCGAGGCACGACCGAGCCCGACCGAGATGGCGGCGTCGGTAGCGGGCATCAAGTACCAGGCCGAGTCGCCGGACGAGGGCGCTCTGGTGCACGCGGCGCGCGAGCTCGGGTGTGCGCTTGTCGACCGCATGCCGCGGTCGATGACGGTTGCGATGGCGCGTGGACGGAGCGGCAGCGGACCGAGCTTTGTCGAGTACGAGCTCCTGCACGTGCTTGAGTTTACCTCTGCGCGCAAGCGCATGTCTGTCATTGTCCGCAACTCTGCCGGCAGCATTCTGCTGCTGACCAAGGGCGCTGATACAGTTATTTTGCCTGCACTCGCGGAGACGTCCAAGGCATCGCCGGCGCTGCTTGCGGGCCTTGTCCACATCGAGATGTTTGCTGAGGCCGGGCTCCGGACGCTCATGTGCGCCGTGAGAGAGCTCGAGAGGGAGACGTACGAGGCTTGGAAAGCTGAGCACTTTGATCCGGCGGCGCGCGCGCTGGAGCACCGTGACGACAAGCTGGCGGCAGCGGCAGCGATCATCGAGACCGAGCTCGAGTATGTGTGCGTGACTGCCATCGAGGACAAGCTGCAGGAGGGGGTGTCGGACACGATTTCGCTGTTGCGCAAGGCCGGAATCAACGTCTGGGTCCTCACGGGCGACAAGCAGGGGACGGCGATCAACATTGCGATGTCTTGCGAGCTCCTCACGCCTGCGATGCAGTTGCACGTGGCAAACGAGGACACTGCAGAAGCGACGGTGGCACGGCTTGTAGCGCTGGAGAAGCTTGTGCCGGTCGAGTCCGAGCAGGAGCAGGCGTTTGTCATCGACGGGCACACCCTCTTCCACGCGCTGGAGGACAAGGTCGGCGCTGCCACATTTGAGGAGGTCTCCACGCGGTGCCGGGCGGTCATTGTTTGCCGTGCGACGCCGTTGCAAAAGGCATCTGTGGTGAAGATGGTACGGGTGCGGAAGCCGCCGGGCGGCGGGCCGCGGGCGCTGACCCTTGCGATCGGCGACGGCTCCAACGACGTGTCGATGATTCAGGCTGCGCACGTCGGGGTGGGCATTTCTGGGCGCGAGGGGCTGCAGGCTGCGCGTGCGGCGGACTACGCCATTGCGCAGTTCCGCTATCTCGCGGTCCTCCTCCTCAAGCATGGGGCGTGGAGCTACCAGCGGACGACGATGGTGATCAACTACTCGTTCTACAAGAACATTGCGCTGTACCTCATCCAGCTCTGGTTTGCGTTTTTCAACGGGCTTTCTGGCCAGACGCTCTTTGAGCGATGGACGATCTCGCTCTTCAACGTGCTCTTCACCTCCCTCCCGATTCTTGTGCACGGGCTGTACAACGCCGAGTTTTCGGCGTCGACGCAGCTGCTGTTCCCCGAGCTGTACTGGGCGGGGCGTAACCGCGAATTGTTCAACACCAAGGTATTCTGGTCGTGGTGCGCCAACGCGGTCTTCCACTCGCTAGTTCTCTACTTTTTGTGACGGGCGGGCTCGGCGCGTCGGCGTCGTGGCGGGCAAACGGGCAGGCATCGGATTTGGTCTCGCTCGGCTTTGTGGTGTACACGGCGGTGGTGTGGGTGGTGAACCTCAAGTTGGGGCTGGTGACGCACTCGATGAGCAGTCTGCAGTTTGGCGCGTTTGCCGTCTCGATTGCGACGTGGTACCTGTATTTGGTGGTCTACCCACTCGCGCAGATCAACGACGAGGCCATCGGCGCCGGCTTCTATGTTCTCGGCTCGGCACCGACATGGTTTGTGGTGGGTGGAGTGTGCATTGTGGCGCTCCTCCGCGACATTTTGTGGGCGTACGTGGAGCGGACGTTTTTCCCGACTTCGCGGCACATTGTGCGCGAGCTCGATGCGTCTGGACGGCTGCCGCGGCTTGCTCCCGAGATGGTGGCGATGCATGGCCCGGGCGGCGGACGCATGAACGTTGTCGGCGAGGCCGACATCGAGGTGGCGTCGTCGTCAGCAGCGCAGACGTCTGAGCTCGTGAGCCGGACGCGGTCGACAGCGTCGGCGACGGAACGCGAGTCGCTGCCGACGCTCTCGGCGCTACCCTCGTCAGCAGGCTCGGGCAGGCAGCGGGTGCGCCGGGCGACGGGTGGCGGGCCGGGCTCGGCGCGCTCGTCGCGATCGCGGCTGGAGGTCATCGAGGCGGCGGACGAGCTCAGCGTGACCGACGACGAGTCGGACTCGGGCGAGGTTGAGTCGTCGTCGCACATTCGTTCCTCGAGGCGGTCGTCGCTCAACCGTTCGTCACGGATAGGCGACTCTTCGAGCCGTGACACCGGTCTCGGCCGACAAAACTCCAAGCCCAACGTGCCGCGGAGCGGTGGGCTGGGCTCGCGCTCCGGCGCGGCACCAGCGACGCAACCCGGATCGCGCTCCCGCTCGCGGAGGAATACGAACTCGTCAGTCGAGTCGTCGTCGAGCTTCAATATGTAGGAGGTAAAAAGAGCTGCAGACGAGCATGTAATGAGGGGGGGGGGGGGGGAAGGGCAAGGAAAGCAAAGTACGCCTCGGACCCAAGGCTATACTTGAGACCATCCCAAGCGCCAATGGCAGGAGATAGATTGGGATGGGGGTAAGGGGGCGGGGAGACCGCGGCGGCTTACAGACGAAGCCAGTAGAGGAGCTGCAGGCAGCGGCGCTTGTAGGCAAACGACTCGCCAGCCACACGCTTGAGGCGCAGGCCATGGAGGTCCTTGAGGTCAGAGACAATGCAGACCTCGATCTCGATCTGTAGCGGGTTGCCGTGGTCGTCGGCCCACGAGATCTCGTAAATGGCACCGGCGCGGGTGTAGGAGATGCCCCGCTCGCCGAGGGCCGACTCAATGATCTGGAAGATCTCCTCGGCAGGCTTGGTCGAGGTGGTTGCGACGGAGAAGGGACCCTTGACCTTGCGAAGCTTGGTAGAGCCGCGCGAGCCCGAGACGCCCGAGACGAAAGCAGCCTTTGCGGCGTCGAGCGAGAACTTCTTGCGCTTGCGGCGCTGGTCGCGACCCGGGTTGAGCTTGAGAACCATGGGCGTGGCGGCGTCCTCAGCGCCGTCTGCGGCGTCGGGTGAGGCGTCGGCGCCGTCATCATCGTCCTTGCCTTTTGCCTTGGCCTTGGCTTTGGCCTTCTTGGCCTTGCCCTTGGACTTGTCGCGCTTGCGGTCGCGGCGCGAGGCGCGAGCCTCGGCCATGGCGTCCTCGAGGTTGTCGATGGGAAGCGTTCCGTTCGGCTGGATTGAGTGGCGGCGAGACTTGCGGTTGTACGCCTTGGGCACATCGACCTTGCCGAGGTCGACGGCGGCGACCTCCTCGGCCATCTCTGCGCGGGCACGCTCGGCCGAGGTGCGGCCGCGCGAGGCACGGCGGGAAGAGCGCGACGACTTGGGCGCCGACTCGGAGATCGTCTCGAGGCCGAGGGCCTGGCGCGAGGCGCGCTTGCGCTCGCGGGGCTCGGACGAGGCCGACGCGGTGGCCGACGCGGCGTCGGCGGCCTCGGCGGCCTCGATGGCAGTCTTCTCGACAGAGAGGTAGTAGGCGCACGAAAGGATGTTGTTGTCGCGGTTGGTGAGCGCACCACGGACAGCCTCGATGTCGAGGCCCATCTCGGCCAGGCGGTCGAGGTGAGCCTCGTCAGGTTCTTCAACGGGCTCGCGGTGCGGCATGATGTAGTCGGGTGGGCCGTCGTGATCGATGAGCATCCACGGATGGCGTGCGACTTCGTCGAGCGACGCGCGCTGGTCCGGGTTGACCACGATCATGCGGTTGAGTAGGTCGTTGCACTCGGGCGAGATGTAGAACGGGACCTCAAAGTTGCCCTTGACGATCTTTTTGAACATGGCGTCGCGCGTCGCGCCGTCAAACGGAAGCTTGCCACATGTGAGCGCAAAGAGAATGACGCCGAGCGACCAGATCTCAGACTTGGCGCCGAGGTACTCCTCACCGCGGATCATCTCGGGCGGCGCGTAGCCGGGCGAGCCGCAGAAGGTCGAGAGCAACTCGGTGTCGTTGAACGCGTTGGCAAAGCCAAAGTCGATGATCTTAATCTGCGCGTTCTCGTCAAGGAGCAGGTTCTCCGGCTTGAGGTCGCGATGGATGATAAAGTTCTTGTGGCAGTAGCCCATGGCCGAGATGATCTGCCGGAAGAACACCCGCGCCTGCTTCTCCTTCACCCGTCCGCGCGCCACAATGTAGTCGAAGAGCTCACCGCCAGGCGCATACTCGAGCACAAGGAGGTACTGGTCCTCAAGGTTGAGGAGCTATCCGCCATCGCCCATCGCCCCAACGCCCCAGTGTGTGTGAGTCTGCGGCCCAAGTGTTGGCACTCTCGGCACAGCGAACAATTTGGCTTGCCAAATGAACATTCAACAAACGTCATGTTGCGGAATAAAATGTCAGCGGGCCAGGATGGCACCACGAACCGGCGGGGCTGAGCCAAGGCTGCAGGGGGGGTCAGCCAAGGAACTACACACGCTCTCTCGGGCTTACCTCCTTCATGTTGACAATGTTCGGGTGCTTGAGCAGCGACATGAGCTTGATTTCGCGCTCAACCCGCACAAAGTCCTTGACGCGGCGCAGCTTAGACTTCTGAATGACCTTGATCGCCACCTTCTCCCCAGTCCGCAGGTCCTCGGCAAGCTTAACCTTGCCGTACGAGCCCTGGCCGAGGGTCTTGATGAACTTGTAGTGGACGTCCATAGAGTTGATGGACTTGCGCCGGACAACCTTGTCCAGCGTCCGCGAAATGCGCATGGGCTGCGGAGACAACGAAGACATCAATCAGGTCTGAAGAGAGAGCAGTGTGCGCGGACGCCGACAGTGGTTTGTTCGCCGGCCCGTTGGCCCGCAAGCGCCATCCACTTTGAGTTTGTCAAACGATTGACAAGATAGCGACGTTTGTCGACTTGACCAAGCAGTGGGCGAGGCGAGGCCGTCCCCTATCGCCGTCGGAGGGCGGGTGCGATGCGCTCACCCCAGCCGAAGAGCCGCAGCGGCGGCCGGATCAGGTGACAACAGCGATGGACCGCTCATCGCCATTGCACGTTGGACGCCGTAGGTGCCAACGAGCCGCAGTGGTGGCTCGTTGGACACCGTCGAGCGTCGTGGGAGCGTCCATGCCGCCGGCGTGGCAGCCACGTTCTGAGCCGTGAAGCAGCACTAGCCGCCCGATCGGATAGTTTGTTGATGTGCACGAATGCAACGATGTATGCCATCGACACGCTGGTGGAGGAGGCCAACTTGGGCAGGCCGACTGCCAACAATCCCATCGCCGTCTCGTCACCACCGTAGATGGCACCGCCACTGCGGCCAACAGCGCCTCCACGCCAGTCAGCAGAACACTCGCCAATTGCAGCTGGACGCCGCGGATGTGTCCGTACTCACCCCCATCATCCTCCGAGCCGAGGAGCCGTAGGGGCGGCCCGATCATCGACAGCGCTAGGGCGTCGGTGGTCACGCTCGGCCTCGAGCATCCGAAAGCCGCTGACCAAATCGAACGGTGACAGCATTCGGTGTGACCAAGTGATTGATCATGCAACTTTTACTCAAGTCCCGCAGGAGAACCAGACTGCAAGTCGCCACGAGAGGGAAGCTGCTCGAATTAGCAAGAAACTGCACTTGGAGGTAGGTGATCATGCCTGCAAGCCCTGCGCTTGAGTTTAGTGGCGCTGTGACGGTCTCTCTGTTACATTGGTTGGGCGGATGCGGCACAGCGGAGGGCGCTCGAGTTGGCGGCTGTTGTACCCACTGATAGTGGCGCAGAAGGCGATCGTCTCTACCAAACCAGTGTTACGCATGTAGATACATGCATGGTGACAGGCAGTTGCGTAAAAGTGGTTCTGATGCGAAATGGGCCGTCCATGGTGGAGAGGCGACGGCCCGACAGTGCGCAGGTCGAGTCGAGACGGCTCCGTCCTGGTACTGCGTGAGGAGCCATAGCGGGCCCGCCACAAACATGGCATGAGTACAGCGGCTGTCATCATGAGCTAGAAGTGCAGCATAAGTTCCTGCGAGCGGAAGACGGGCGTTCAAGGTGGTAGAGAAGGCTGAGGCAGCGAGAAGCCCGGTCGTATCTCGGACTTCTTAGTGATAAAATTTTCCGAGCAAGGACCCAACCTCCTATGACAACGGCGTGCAGCCGAGCGTGAGATATGAAAAGATGAGGACAAATCCATATATTGCGTATATAAATATAAATAAAAAATACAAAGTAATGTATTTGTAAAAGTTGTGCTTACAACCAATCATTTATATTTTGTACCAATTAGAATTATATATATGTATAGATACATTGTCAAATTGATAGGATAAGTGCGGGACACACGTCGTCGTACCTCCACGGCCTTGGCTCCCTCGAGCTCTTTCTCGCCTACAAAAGCCCGTGGCACCACCTCGCATCCATAGTGCGGCTACTGACGGGCTCAATAATGACGCTGTGGTGCAGGGCTACGGTTGAAGTACCATGGCATCGGCACGCGTCGCTTGTATCCGATGATCCCCCGGGTACACACAGCACACGTAAGCACAAGGGCAACGGCTGCCAATAAACTAAGTTCAATCACCGTTCACACAAAGGTATAGATGAGGCCAAGCGTATCGCAGCATCATCCGTCGGCGCGGTAGAAGCGGAGGACGCCGTCGCCGGCAACCAGATGCGAGTGGTTGAGCGAGGGATGGTACTTGATAAAGGCTGTGGAGCCATCGTTGTGGTAGTGTGGGCCAAGGATGTCGGCGAGAGCGGCCATAGCCTTGGGCGCGTTGTAGTGCGGCATGGTGGGAAAGAGGTGGTGGCAGACGTGATAGCGTGCGGCGCCATGGAGCATAAAGTCAAAGGGCCAGAACGAGCGGTCGACAGTCTGTAGAGCGCCGCGGAGCTTGGTCCAAGCGGTGGCGTCAAAGGCGACAAGTTCACCAGTCTCATCGCGGTGCTGCATGTAGCCAATCATGAGGTTGGCGGCGCCACACGCACAGAGCGGGACAAACGCGAACTTGAGCGTGGCGGCTGGAGCGTGGTAGAAGCCAGCAGCGAGCGCTGACCACTGAACAATGACCATGGCAAAGTTGACGAGCGAGAGCGAGTTGTTCATCTCGGGATTGTAGAAGAGCGAGTCGGTCGAGAGCTTGCCGTTCTTCCCGCGGAGGCCACAGAGGTAGAGAAAGTGCATGAGGAAGAGGCCAATCGGGCTCAGCCAACGGAGCATCCAGCGGATGGCAGTAAGAACAGGCGTCGAGACCCGCGAGTAGGTAAAGTACTCTTCAAGATCCTCGTGCGCTGTCCAGCGGTGGTGCAGAAAGTGGGCCTGCCGCCAGTTCTCAAACGGCATGAAGCCAGCAAGCATGGTCACCGAGCCGAGCGCCTTGTTGAGCAGCGGCCACCGAGTGAACGAGCCATGCGCGCACTCGTGTCCGATTGCCAGGTAGCCGTAGAGCGAGAAGCCGAGCGCGATGTACACCAGCGGGAGCGCCGCGACGGGCGCCCAGGTGAGGAGCCAGAGGAGCGCGCCCGACGTCGCCGTCGTCTGCACCACCTGGCCCAGCGCCACCCAGTGGTTGCGCTCAAAGCAATCGGCCGGAAGCGCCGCCACCAGCTGCGCGTGCGTAAAGGGGTACTCTGGCGGAGGTATGTGTGCATCTTTGCCTTGTGCATCTTTCCTGCCGGTTGCACTCGCCCGTGCGGCATGTGCCCGCCGCTGCAAGCTCGACTCGGCCGGCGGGGACTCGCGGAGGACGCCAGTCATTGTGGCAAAGCGCGTGCGTGTGAGTGACGGCCTTGTCTGTGTGTGGATGATGGGGGAGAGCGAGCACGGAGTCTGTCTGCTGCCCACGTGTGCGAGAAGTGTGGAGGTGCGGAGGTTTGTGCGGGCGTTCCCAATCGCTGACGTGTTGGGTGGGACATTGATGGGTCACGTGCTAGGCCTAGCACATGCCATTCACGGCCTTGTTTTTTTCGCTCTGGTCAGCGGCACGTACGCTTCACGGCTGGCTACAGTTGGGCGAGATCAGTCACGATGGCTTCGGCGCTCGCCACCACGAGCACCGGAGCGGGAGCGGGAGTGATCGCGGCCACTACCTCCGCTGGAGCGGGAGCGATTCCCACCCGACGCACCGCTGGCGCGATGGCGCGGGCGCGAGCGAGAGCGGGAGCGACGGGGCCCGCCGCTCCCGCGGCCTCCGCCACGGCCACGACCTCCGCCGCGGCCACGGCCTCCGCCGCCGGAGCGGCGCGAGCGCGGCTTGCGCTCCAGCTGCGGCGGGACGTCTTGATCGGCAGACTTGAGAAAGTCGACAAGGGCGGCGCGGATGTCCTCGTGCGGATCGGAGGAGACAATGGAGAGGGCGGTGCCAGAGCGGCCGGAGCGGCCAGTCCGACCGATTCGGTGAACGTACTGCTCAAACTGGAAGGGAAAGTCGTAGTTGATGACGAGCGAGATGTCGGGCACGTCGAGGCCACGGGCAAGGACGTCAGTGGCGACCATGACGGCCGGTTGGCGGGCGCGCTTGAACTTTGCGAGCTCGCGGGTCCGCTGCGACTGGTTCTTGTCGCCGTGGACGACGGCGATGGTGGCGGCGTCGCCGAGCGCGTCGCGCAGGCCCTCCTCAATGGTGTCGCATGTGGTCTTGCGGTCGCAGAAGACAAGGGCCTTGGAGCCGGTGCCGAGGAGCTCGCGAGCGGCAGCGACATTGGCGTCCGACTGGACGTGCTCGTCGCCGATGCCGAGATGGCCGACGAGCGCCGTTCCGAGAGTGGCGTTCTTGTCTTTGGCACCCGAGGCAAACGAAAAGTGCTGCGAAATCGAGGCAACAGCGGTGAGGACCGAGGCCTCGACGGCCTCAAAGCCGCGTGACGAGTACGGCGAGTCGGACGGGGCGACGGCAAGCGCGATGGGGTCATTCATCAGGTCGGACGTGAGCTTCTCGACTTGCTTGGCCCACGTGGCAGACCAGAGAAGCGTCGTCCGCTCCGGCCGAGTCTTGTCCATGATGGTCCGCACGTCGGCCTCAAAGCCCATGTCGAGCATGCGGTCGGCCTCGTCGAGAACGACCCACGAGACGCTCTGCAGCGGGAGCCAGCCGTCGGCGTGCAGATCGAGGAGACGGCCCGGCGTGGCAACCACCAAATGCGGCTCGTTCTCCTGCAGAGCCCGCATCTGCTTGCCCTTAGACTCGCCGCCAAAGACTGAGGCGACGCGGACGCCCGTCCCGCGGGTCACCCGCTTGGCCACGTCTGCGATTTGAGCAACGAGCTCGCGGGTGGGCGCAAGGACGAGGCCAAGCGGCGGCGCGACCCACTCGTAGGCGTCGGCAAGGCGGACGCCGCCACGCCGGTGACGATCGCGCCTGCCGCGCCGCCCGCCGCGGCTCGGACGCGCCCGGTCGCGGGCGACGGCCGAGAACGCCGGCTGAGCCGCAATGTGCGCCACGCCCGGCAGCAGATAGCCAAGCGTCTTGCCCGAGCCCGTGGCCGAGAGCGCCACCATATCGTGGCCCTTGAGCGCCAGCGGCCACCCGAGCGCCTGGATCGGCGTTGGCGTCGTCACGCCCTCCGCAGCCACGTTGGCAGCGAGCTGCGGCGGGAGAACGAGCTCGTTGAGCGCCGCCAGCGGGCGCGGCAGTGCCACGGGCTCTTGCTCGCCGTGCAGGCGCGAGCACGTGATGCGCGTCCCGCCGAGCACCACCGTAGCGGCGGCCTCGGCCTCAGCCTCGGCCGGGCCTGCGCCCGCGTCCGCCGCTGGCCCCTCGCCCGCGCCTGCGGCCTCGCCGCCACCAGCGGCCAAAGATGGAGATGGCTCGTCAGGATGGGAGGATGGCGCGTGGCGCAGAACGTCCTTGACCACCGCCGCCGCCGCCTTCTGGGCCGTCGGGGAGATAGAAAGGATCGCCATCTGCCGCATGCTCCCGGCCGCGGCAATGCTTGCGGCTCTTGCTGCTGCGGATGCGCTCCAGCTCCACCTCAACATGGCTTTGTGTGGAGTGGGTGAGTGCAATGGTGGGCCGGGAAGAGCACAGCGCGGCAGCTGCCAATGGTTGGCGGCCAATGGCCAATTACCGTCCGCCGCTTCTGGCTCCTCTCGGCCAAACAAGGGCGGGCAAGGGGCTTGCGCCAGCCTCGGCCGCCGATTGCTAGCCCCTGACCGCCGATGAGCTACAGCGCCACACACACACAAACACACGCACACAAACACATTCTGCGTTCATTGCCATACGCCACCGCCCACGTGCTGGCCTAGTAGCCTAGTAGTAGTCGTCATCGGCAACGAGCTCGAGGCCGAGCTGGCGGCGGTGCTTGACGCGGGCGACATGCCGGCGCATGCGGGCCGACTGGGCCTGGGCCACTGGGCAGGCACCGGCGAGCGCCTCGACCTCGTGGACGCCGCCGACAATGCGGGCGTCGAGGGCGCCGAGGCCGCGGCTCCGGCGGGCGGCCGATCGCGCCATTCGCCGCCGATCGCGGGCGGCACCGGCCGGGCCGCGCGCGCCGACCCGGGTCACAGCCACCGACGTGCCTGTTGGCGAGAGAGCACGCCGAATGACGACCGATGCCTCTGGTACAGACTCGGGGTTCGACACCATGGCCTGCGGCAACCAGCGCAGGTTGGCCGCCTTAGCCGCCTTGCGCTGCTGCCTTCGCCGTCGTCGATCGGCCTTCTCTTCCGCCGAGACCTCGACCTGCGGCACAGCTGCAGGTATAAACGCCGCATAGGCCCGATATGCCGCCGTTTGCGGCGGTGGCTTGCCCATCAGCGTCGGCAAGCCGCCGCCGCCGCCTGCCTCGCCGGCGGTCGCGCCCTCGTCCACACGAGGCAGCAGCAGCGAGCGGAACGCCACCGACTCGGCCCGCCGCGTCCGCTGCGACAGGCTCTTGACCGCCGAGTTGGGCCCCGACGTCACCGCGGCAGCCATGCTCGGTGCAGTCGAGACGGTCGAGTGTGCTCGCTTGCTTGCTCCTGCCTTCAAAGGGCCCGAGCTGAGCGTCCGCTAAACCGCGCGCAAGTCTGGCGCCCGCAACAGGGGAAACCTCCCGCCCCCCCTCCCACTCCAGCCATGCTATCTATCTCCATTTATCAATCATCATCCATTCCGGCAACCCACGCGGCGCGGGCCCAGGATGGCCTACTCGTCGACCTCAGTGGCGGCGGGTGCAGGAACGGCGAGAGGGTGCGCTTCGAGATCGATGCCCTGGAACGAAACCTCGTGCACGAGCTTGCCGAGTTTGGTGAGATATGCTTCCGACTGGTTGCGGAAGGCTTCAGCGGCGCGGACTCGTGAGGCCATGGCGCCCATGGCAACGTCCATCGACGCCTCCATGACGTCGGCAGGACCCTTGACGGTGACAACGCCGCTTGCCGCGGCCGCGCCGCCTTCGGCAGCCTGCTCCAGCGCCGCCATCGCCAGCGGGCAGTTTTGCTGCAAATACGCCAGATCTTCGGGCGTGAGGAATGCCGGCGCCACCGTTGAGCCCAGATCCTCGACCCACGCGGGGACCTGGGCCGACACTCCCGCGCCCGACGGCGTCTGCAGCGAGCCTTCGATCTCACTCCACTGCGCCTTCTCAGCCTCAAGACCGTCCAACACCGCCCGGAGCTTGTCGCGCGCAGCTTCGAGCTTGCCCAGCCGAGTCGTCGGCTCGGCCGCCTTGGCAAGCCGCCGGCGGCGGCCGCCGCGTTGCCGCCGGTCGAGCGCCGCCGCAAACTCGGCCTTGGCTGCGTCCGACGTCAGCGCCGCATACGCGCCGTCGGCCGCAGCCTTGATAGCTGCCCGCACCTCGTCCGCCGCCAGCACTGCCGCATTGGCCGCCGCCTCCGCCGCCGCCTTGGGCCCTAGCGACGACGCCTGCGCAAACTCGGCGTCGGCGCCAGATTCGAGCCTGCTCTCCACCTTGTCCAGCGCCTGCGTCATCGCGTGGCCAAGCAGCAGCGCCCACCGGTTCGACGGCGTCTCCTCTGCCGGCACCACCGAGCACAGCAGTGGCTTGGCCTTTTTGAACCCGGCAAGTGACCGCGGCGGCTCGTCGCCCTTGCGCTTCCGCCCGCCGCCCTGTCGTCCAGCCGTCTGTCCGCAACACCTTGGTGAGCCACTGCGCCCGCATGGCACCCTCTCTACCCACCCTGCGCCCTACCTACATAGCACTCCACCCCTTGCCTTCACTCCCTGCATGCTGCCCTTCTCTGGGCCCGCTGCACCCCGCTGCACCCTCGGCCGCGTACCGACGACATTGCGCGCCAAAAGATCGAGCAACGAGAAGTGGCTAAAGCCGAGGTCAAGGCCAACACGGCCCAAGCCAAGCAGCCACCGTTCATCATTTCCCTCCCCCCCACTAGCTCGCTCCTAGGCAACGTAGATCCTCGATACCGCAGTACTGTGCAATACCGTGCATATGAGCGTGTTATGGGCAGAAAGAACAGAGACGACACGGGGGCCAATACGAGGGTGCAGGCACCCAGGCGGGCAGCTACGGTTAGGCCTTGCCCTTGGACGAGAGCGAATTGCTCATCCAGTCGAGGCCCTCGTAGAGGCCATCGCCAGAAGTGGCGCAGGTCGACTGGATGTACCACGAGCGCTGGCGGAGCGAGTGCAGGCCCAGCTTGTCGGTGATCTCAGCAGCGTTCATGGCCGCCGGGAGGTCCTGCTTGTTGGCAAAGACAAGGAGCACCGCGTCACGGAGCTCGTCCTCGTTGAGCATGCGGTGCAGCTCGTCGCGGGCCTCGCCAATCCGGTCGCGGTCGTTCGAGTCGATGACAAAGATGACGCCCTGCGTGTTCTGGAAGTAGTGGCGCCACAGCGGGCGGATCTTGTCCTGCCCTCCGACGTCCCACACCGTGAACGAAATGTTCTTGTACTCAACCGTCTCCACGTTGAAGCCACTGTCTCCCACACCCATTCACCTCGTGAGTGCCCGCACGCCCCGGTCTCCCCACCGCAGCCGCCACTGCGCCATAAAAACCCGCGCGTGTCGCTCTCCCGTTCCGCCGCTCCCGGCTTCGCCCAAACCAGTTTTTGCATTTTTGGCCGACCGCCCCCCAGCCCTCCTCCGCCGGCCTGTGCGGCGTTTCTCGCCTGCATTGCGCCCCCCACCGGTGCTCGCAGTTGTCCTCTCCTCCCCTATTCCCCCCCAAGCCTGCTTCCCTGCCCTTCCCGCGCCCTCCCTGTCCGCCCGCGCTGCCTACGTACATGGTCGGAATGGTGGTCACGATCTCGCCAAGCTTCAGCTTGTAAAGAATGGTCGTCTTGCCGGCAGCGTCGAGCCCGACCATGAGGATGCGCATCTCCTTCTTGCCGAACATCTTGCTGAGCGCCTTGCTGAACACCGAACCCATGGCAAAGTGTCTTAGAGTGGAGTGTAAGGAAGGTGTGGTGTTGTGGTGGGAAAGGGGGGGGTGGGGAGCTTGCGAGGCAACAACGGCAGTCGTCAGAATCGAATGCGACGGCGTTTTGTGCACACTGCCTTTTTTTCAGCCAGCCCTGTGTCGCGCCGCCTTCCTCCGCGACCGTCGCACCCCAAACGAGCAGCAGCCTGCTGCCGGCCGCCGGCTGTCGACTGCCGGCCGGCCGCGCCTCTAGCCTCGGCGCGCTCTCGGCGCCAAACTTGGCTCTCCCTGCGCTCGCGCCGCTCCATGACCACGGCACAGCTTGTCCAGGTCCAGGCTCTACTCTCGGGTGGCGACCCGCACTCTGCAGCCGCGCTGGGCGCCTTGGTCGCCGCGTCGGCGTCGCGGACTCCGTTTGCAGCGCGGACAGCGGCGGTGGCGGCTGCCGCTGCCACCGCCGCCGCCTCTGCTCCGCCGCTGCCGCGGGTCTCGCCATGGGCGGCGCTCTCGTCTGCACCCAGTGCTCCCGGAACTACCGCAGCCGCATCGGCGTATACTCGCGCGCTCTCACTTGCCGGCCCCGACGCCTCGCCCGAGCTGCTGTTCGACGCTGCTGCCGCCTTTGCTGCCGCCCGCCTCTGGCGCCGTGCCGCCGAGGCCCTGGCTCTCGTCCCGTTTGCCAGCCGCTCGCTGGCGGCGCACCTGCTCGCCGGATCGCTCTCGCGCGTCCTTCACGACGCCGCCGCCGCCCGCGATGCTTACACTGCTGCTCTCGACGCCAACGCCTACGCTCTCGACGCCATCGACGCCCTCGCCGAGCTGGGCGTCCCGGCCACCGAGCTCAAGGCCCATCTTGGCGACGCCCTCGCAGCCTCGCCGCCGCCGCGCGCCCCGGCTTCACGCCTCCGCCCACAGGGCAGCAACAACGAGGACGACGACGATGACGAGCTCCATTGGTCAGACTCGGACGAGGACCGCGAGCCGGCGCCCGGATCGTGCGTCCCGCCCTCGTGGCTCGGCCTTTATGCCGACGCTGCCGCCGCCTACTGGTCGCACGACTTTGACCGCGCCGCCGAGGCCTACGGCTCGCTGCTGAGCCTCTTCCCGGCGTGCGTCGCCTTTAAGCGCCGCCTTGCCGCTGCTCTCTGGAACGCCGGCGCCGGCCACGACGCCCTCGCCCACTTTGCCGCCTCGGTCGACGCCGCGCCGAGCGAGCCCGAGTCTGTCGACCTCTACGCTCTTGCTCTCTACGAAGCCAAAGACAAGGCCACCCTTGCTACGCTCGCTAATCGCCTTCTTGATGCCGCTGCCACCCCGTCCGGCCTCTGGCCTGCCGATCCCGCCGGAGAGCTCGGCGAGCCGCGCCGCGCCGCCAAAGCTGGCGCACCCGCCATTCTCGTCGGCCTCGCCGCCCCGCAGCACCTCGTTGCCGTCGCCGTCTTCTTTGCCGCCACTGACCGCATTGCCACCGCGAAGAAGCTGCTCGAACGCGCGGCCGTCATCGACCCGCACCACGCTACCACTCACATCGCCCGCGGCCGCATCGCCATGTCCAACACCAAGTACTCGGCCCGTCCTTCCTTTGTTGCCGCAAATTACGCCCGCGGCGGCTCAGACCCGACCATCCCGCCTGCTAAGGGCGAGACACCGCGCTTCCCGCACCCGGGCGTTCTTGACGGCATCGTCGCTGCAAACATGGCCATCTTTGAGTTCCGCGGCGCGCTCGCTGCCGCAAAATGCGCTCTCTACCTCGCTCCAGAGTCGCCGCAGTCGCTCACTCTTGTCGCCACTGTCCTCGGCTCGCGGAAGGAGGGCCGGGCCAAGGCCGAGTCTCTTCTCCTCGCCGCCATCGAGCGCGCCCCGCGCTATCACCGCCCGCTCGAGCTCCTCGTTGACCTTTACGTCGTTGACGAGCGCTTCGACGACGCCATCGCCCTCCTCCGCGACTCGTTGCAGGCCTCGGTCCACTCGGCCCAGCTCCTCCACACCCTCCTCGGCGAGGTCCTCACCGAGGCTGGCTCGCTCAATGAGGCCCTCGTCCACTACCACCTCGCTGTCTCACTCGACCCGTCGTCTGAGCGCGCCTCGCTTGGCCTCGAGCGTCTGGATGCCCTCATCTCGGGCGACGACGGCGACGACGTCACCGCCAGCCCACCCGAGTAGCCGCAAACAGTCTGGCGTCATTCTCTTGCTGCCGCTGCCTGCGCTGTAAAGTTGTACCATGTCTCGGCGTCTTTGTGGACCCAGCTCGACCACTCGCACACGCCCTCCACAACGTGCGCATCAAGCGCCGACTTCGCTGCCCGCGCCGGACCGTCCAGCCCCATAAACGCCTTGTACGGCACCTCGTAAACACTCTCGACGCCGGCTTTCGCCGCCAGCACCGCCGCCCGCTCGGGAAACACACTCTCCAATGCCGCCACAAACCGCGCCAGCATCAGCGCAGGCGAAACAGGTGACGCAGAGCTGAGATTCTTGGCCTTGGCCTTGGTCGTCCCGAGCAGCCGACCCCGCGCCCCGAGCACAGCATGCGACGACCACCGCGAACCTGTAGCCGCCCGTTCGCGCCTCCGCCACGCAACCACACTCGCTCCAGTCGTTGTCAGCTCGTCAGCGTCATATCCACCGACGGTGGTCAGTGCCGCCCGTGATGCTGCAAACGTTGCCGCTGGCGCCGCAGCAACAACAGGCACCGCCACGCCTGGTGGAAGGAGAGCGGCAACCCGGGTAACCAGCGCTCGCTCGAGCGCCTGGCGATCAAACAACTCACCGACAACAATCGACGAGAGCCGAATCGGTGCCACCAAGCTGCCCAACAGCGTGCCCTGCATGCCCAGCGCTACCCACCGCGCGATCTTGTCCGAGCACGACATCGACTGTGATGGCTCGCCGCGCCCAGGCTTGGTCCGCAGCAGGCCCGGAGTATGGTACCCGGTACCAGGCTCCTTGGCATCGCCGCTCGCCCCACCTACAGCCCGTGCCCCGGTCCGCTGCATGTCCAGGCCCTTGAACTTTTTGGCCACGCCGCCCCCTGCGCCACCGCCTTGCGCTTCGACGCCGGTGCGTACGAGACCGCCGACGCGGCGTCGGTCACAAAGATGGACGCGTCGCCGCATGGCGTCTGTGACACGTACAGATGCACATACTGCTGAGGACCAAGCTCGACGAGCGGTGCGCCCGGATCGCTTGCCGCAGCGCCGGGAATCGGGACTAGCTCCACCACGCCCTCGCCGCTCAGCGCGTCGATGAGCGCAGCTTGCAGCGCGCGCTTGGCGGCAACCTCGGCGTGCGCATCGACCAGCGAGCCGCCATCTGCAGCCATCCGCCCCGGCGGCAGGCACTTGGTCCCTGTCCCCATCGCCAACACCGTCACTTCGTCGGCGTCCGAGACCTCGGACAGCGGCACAGGCGTGACTGCCCAGCCCGCCAGCACCGTCCACTCGTGCCCGCTCGGCTTGCCCTTGCGCGGCAGCTCGTCGTACGCCGCACACACTGCCGCCGCCAGGACCTCGGCCCCACCTGCTACTGCCATCCGCCTCGGGCACTGTCTTTATGCCTCGGCACAGTGAGGTGTGCTCCCCGTTGCCGGCGGCGGCTCCTCACCTCCGACTCACCGCTCAGCCGCTGTCACTCTTGCTCGTCGCAATCGGGTTCTAGGCAAGATGCAGCCTTTGATGTTTGATGCAAGCGTACGGAACTTGTGCTCGTCACTGGGAGTGGAGGATGACATGCGGCTTGCCGCCGCGCATCAGCACGTCCGTTTCCGAGCTCGAGCTCGGGCTAGAATCCGAGGTTGGGTAGCCCAAGTTCGCGTCCAAGAACTTGTCACCCATTTGATCGTAACAACGACGGCGACGGCGATGACTGCGTGTCTTCGCATTGCTGGTCGAATACGAATCGGATTGGGAATCAGTCGGCATCTGACTTGACGTCGACGATGAAAACGACGACGACGACAACGACGACGATGAAAACGACGACGATGAAAACGACGACGACGACGACGACGACGACGACGACGACGACGAGCCCGACATCGATACACTAGCAAACCACAGCCGACGTTGATCTGCCGGCCGCGTCGAGGAACAGTTATCGTCACTCGTGTCACTGCTGGTATGGCGAGGCATGCGAAAGCTATCACGTCTGGATTGCGGTACATAGCCATTGCGTCCAGGCCTAGGCGGTGATGATGATGGGCGGCGGTCGTTGCTGCTGACCGAGCTCCCATCCCAGCTGGACTCTCCCATGTGAAGAAGCTCGAGCGACGTTCGGCGCATCAGGCCGCGCGCTTGGCGCTTGGACGAAGGCTCGCCGTCGTCGCTGCCCCTCCGCTTCCGCTTGGACGTGTGCTGGGAGCTACCATTCGGCGACGGAGACTCCTCGATGGGATCGGTCGGCGCGCTCGGCTGGCTCTGCGAAAACGGCGCATCCCGCGGCGTTACTGTCTCAGCCTCGGCCTCTACCGCCGCCCCACACAAACTCGCTGAACGGTCCTCGACCCCGATACTGCTGCTACCCCCCGGCGTAAAGGGCGTCATACTAGTCACATCGCTATAACGGAAAGGTTGCAAGGCCTCATTGCCGTCGCTGCTGTGGGCAGTTCCGGTAGAACGGGACATTCCCAACGGTCGTTTCGAGCTCAAGCCGGGCACAGATACCACCGCCACCCACGCCCCACGCACTTCAGCCTTCGTTAGCCTTGCTACAAAGCTAGTTTTGCAGTGTATAAGCGTGTTTGTGTGCTTGTGCTTGTGTGTGTGTGTGTGTGTGTGTGTGGTGGGCGTGCGGGTGTGGGGCGGGGGGAGGAGTGGTGGAGTCTCCTCATCCCGGCGACTTTATTCTCTTTTTTTTGTCAACCACCTCATCCGACGGCACACTTGCAGGGCACACAGGCCGCCAAGGAACGTTGCCAGGTCAATGCGACTGGCCGTTACGCATCCGACATCTTATCGCCTTCCCTAGCACACTCGTCTCGTCAAGCTAAGCGGTCCATGTCGGCACGCACTACTACGACCGGTAAGCGGCGCAGGTCTTTGACGCCCTCAGCCGGGAATAAGAAGCAACGCACGCTTGGCTCGCCTGCGCGCAACAGCGGCACGCCACCGAGCTCGGAGAACGGGCCCCTGACGACTTCCATCAAGAACTTCTCAAACTTGGCCGTTGTCACTGACCAGCGTTGTGGGCTTTGTGTCCGCATCAGGGTGCGCGACATGGAGACCTCGCATCGGACTCTGCTTCGCAAAGCCGCAGCCGACCGTGGCCATGCGTTTGAGGCCAAGTGCGTCAAGGAGCTCGGCAAGCATGTGCTGAGCGATAGCAATCTCATCGATGCCTGCCCGCCTCCTACTTTTGTGCTCTCTGGCAACTCTAACTACGACGATTCGGGCGGCCTGCAGCTCCTGATCATGGGCGTTGAGATAGCCACCTCTGTCGCCGGATCAGCAACACCTGGTGTCGACTTGCCGCTCCCGGGTACAGTCTTTGTCGCCAATCCCAAGTTCCATGGCATGTTCTACAGCGCTGATGACGACGTCCTTCACGACTTTGGTGAGCTAGTGAACAGCATGTGGGAGCCCGATGTGCTCGTGCTGCGGATACGCGACGACAGGGTGTGCGAAGTCGCCGTCTGCGACATCAAGGCCACCGAGACCCACCGCTGCTCGCACATTGTCCAGGTCTGGCTGTACGTCACCCAGCTCCAGCGCCTTTTGGCCAACACCAGCATCATCGAGGGCAATGCGACGACGCCCTTAAGTAATCGCTTTGCCGTCTCGGACACCGCCTACATCTGGCGGCCGAGCGGAGTTGACCCAGTCTACCTCCCACCGCTCGCTAAGAGCATCGACGCCAAGCTGAAATTCGTCTCTCAACAGCTATCGTATGAGGCAGACACCGAGGCGTCGTACAACCTCGGCCCCTCTTGCTGCGACCCGAGCAAATCGGTGAGCTTCCCATGCCGCGATCGCGCAAAGTGCGATGGCCGCGTCGCCGCTTACCCACATCCCGCCCGCGATCCCGAAGCCTGCAACGCTGACACTACCGTGCGAGCGGCAATTGCCGAACATGAGCCCAAGGCCTACTTTGGGGCGCGCTCGACGATGCTGCCCGCCATGGGGGGCGACTTCCCCACCGCGAGGCTGGTCTGCGCCGTTCTCCCGCGGTGCCCGCGGAGCGACGCGCCATACTCATGGGCCCTTTGCTCCACCAACACTACATATCCCAAGCCAAAGGTCTATCTCGGTGAGCCTGCTCGGAACATGGACGATGTGCACGCGGCTGAAGCAAGATCGTCGATGATCCCCAACTCGGCGATTGCGCTCGTCAGGGCTCTGTCGGAGTTGTTTGGTTTTGAGAACAACACGGCCTCCATTTTCCGGGGGCAGATTGTGGTTGCTTCCGGCCGTGAGAAGGAGGTCATGATCTCGATGCTCAAGACGGTCGCCACCGCCGATGCTGGCCTCGACTGTGGCGGGCGCCGCATCTGTACCCAGGCCCGCCATCTGCTCGCCAACTTTGCCCGCGAGGTCGACACCGCAGCTGTGATCACCCAGCCTTCCCCGAGGCTGTGTCGCGACTCTGCCCTCCCCACCGTTGTCGTCCTCGAGCATGCGGTCCGCGAGCTGGTTGCCCTCCCTGCCATCGGCATATACAACTTTTCCGACATTGCGATGTTTCTGGGCGGAATCGACGCAGAGTTAGCGCACAAGCTCGACGATGACGCCGAGCCATATACGCTCTGTCACCCCGAGTCGAGGGGCGCAGGCGCTGCAAAGAAGTACTTTGTCAACAAGGCCAACGCCATCATGGCCTCGATCACCAAACTCCGCGAGCTTGCCACTGAGAAGGCTTTTTGCATGCCAGCGCCGATCATCCAGGCTGTGCACAAGGAGAACACCAGGCCTTCGCGCAGTGAAATGCTCTTGTACCTCTCCCGGGCCAATGTCTTTGCCAACCAGGCTCTAGTGTGGCGCCACGCAACTCAGATGCATGCGCTTGTTGCCGGCCAAGCCCTGCCTCCTGCCGTAGGCATCTCCTCAGCCCGCTGCATCGTCGGGAGGGTCTCCGAGGTGTATAGCGGCGGAAAGGCCGAGATCGAGGTCACATACGGTGGACACTACGCGGAGGTGGACGAAGGCTGGTTTGCGTGGACGGCCGACTCGAGCAATTTCTCGTCGCCTGCGCTGCCTGGCAACGTCGACATCATTGATGTCCAACTTAACCGTCTCACCATCACGCCTACAGGCAACATCAGTCTGACGCACAACACAAGGATCGGCCTTATCAAGCCGCAATTCAACTTTGACACGTACGTGGAAGAGCAGCTGAAGCTCGGTGACGCAGCGAACAGCGCGATCGAGGACGTTGTGACTGCCGGCGAGGGTGTCCAGGTCTTGACGCGAACTCTCATCCCCACGTACAACCGAGCCAAGGTTGTCAACGACATTGCTGCGCTCACGCGGGTCCATCCTATTCTGCTGGATGAGACCCAGAAGACCGCCATCACCAACTGCTGCGTCAAGCCCGGTGGCGTGTCGGTCATCTTTGGCCCGCCCGGAACCGGTAAGACCCACACCACGCTCATCCTGCTGCTGATCATGGCCCAGACTCAGCCCTACCGGCTCAAAGTCCTCTTTGTGGCGCGGAACAATGTTGCGGTGATAGGAGCAAAAACCAAGTTCGATAAGCTGAAGGGCTCGGCAAAGAAGGCCGGGTTGAGGATCGACATCGACGTCACCTTTCGCACGGCGTACAAGGCCGGCAAGGAGTTGGGCGAGGACAAGCGCAAGCTGCGAAGCATGGATGTGGTGTTTGTGGAAGAGGCGTCGCTGCTGTCGATGTGGACAATGGCGCCGGTGCTGGCATGGCGCAAGCTGACCGGGCGGATCATTCTGCTGGGCGACTTTAAGCAGCTTCCGCCCATCTGCGCGCTCGAGCCCATAACGCCCGAGGTCCGCGCGTTGTGCGGCTCGATCCTCGACGCCGCAGTGCCTGCCGAGGTGCGCACCGAGACGGCAAGGAACAATCTGCCTGACCATGTCCACATGCTCGCAGTCAACTACCGCCAGTGCGAGACGCTGGCCGATGTCTGCTCATTCGGCTACCCGGAGGCGTATCGCTTCAGTGGCACCAACCCACAGCTGCCATGGCGCGAGCACGAGGCGGCGGACGAGTGCTGGGCGGGAGCCCTTGTGTCCATCCTGCTCGACCCAGCTTCTTCCATTCCGAACTTTGCTCAGTTCGAGGCAAAGACGGTTGTGAATCTGATCGTGGGCGTGACCAACTTCATGGAGGACAGCCCCCGCCCCGGAGACGTTTTGATTGTCGCGCCGCACCGCACGCAGCGGGCGACCATCCGGCGCGAGCTCGACAAGAAAAATAGCTTGCTCGCCAACGTCGTCGTCGACACCACCGAGAGGCTCCAGGGGAGCGAGGCTCACATGGTCATCATGTGCTACGGCGGGCTGTCACCTGCTGACATCGACGTCGAGGCCGGCTTTATCTTCGACGACCAGCGGATCAACGTCGCCGCGTCGCGGGCGAAGAGCAAGCTCGTCATTTTCTACAGCAGTGCCATCATGAAGCCGCCTCTCTCCGCGCTCACCCGGCCCGAGTGCCGGAAGGGCTTTGGGCGGTTCCAGCAGCTGCTCAAGAGAGCGAGACGGGCGCGGGTGCCCACCACCGCCTCCCAGACCTACACTGAGTCGAGCGAAGACCAATAAGCACAACGCACATGGGCACTTCCTGCTACGGGGCATAGTCCGGCCACGCCGTGGGATCCAGGCCCTTGTGGTAGAACCGAAGCCCAAAGTAGACGGCACCGGTCGATGGCGACGAGGCTTGCAGGGTGATTGGCTGCTTGTTAAGGTACCCGAGCGCGTTGACCTTGAACGGGCCGAGCTTGGCGTTGAACTGGGCCCAGTCCATGACGTTGCCATAAATGCGAAACGAGTACGATGCGTCAGTCTTGAACTCAAACGCTGCGCGGTTCGCCTCGGTCTTAAAGTACTTGCGCCGCTGCTCGACCGAGAGCTCGTCGGGCATGCCCGGGCCATGGATCTCGTTCATCGAGCACAGGAGCGGCGAGAGAAACGACGGCGTATCGGTCTTCCATTCGATGCGCAGGCCGGGGTCGACGGCCGATGCACACCGGACCGCGAGCGAGAAGCCGCGCGGAAAGACAATCGGTGCTTCAAAGGCTGCACCGTAGAGCACGTCGTTGCCGTTAACGTTGTTCTTGAACGAGCCGTCGACCTCAATGGCAAACACCCGTGACTTTCCCTCAAAGTACGGGTCGTCCGGGTCGGCGTCGATCGCGTTGCGGAGCCGGAGCATGATGGTGCCCTTAAAGTGCTCATTCTCGAACGGAACCGGCGTGTTGAGTGCCATGTCACACACTCCGAGCAGCGTGACCCTCAGCGGACCGTGCCACAGCGGGGGGATGTTCTCGAGCGCAACAGCCTGTATCTCTGCACTGGCGTCCGCTACCGGGCTTGCGGCGCCAGAGGCGCTCGCTACGCTTTCACCGGCATCCGACCGCGGCTCGGACGACACCGATGACTTGCCGAACCATCCGTCGCCCGAACCTGATGATAACGCCGACGACGCGACCGAAGGTAGGCTGGCGGACGTCCTTGCTGGCGGCGTTGTTTGCGCAGGCTTGCGGGCCCGAGCCTGGGCTCGACTACGTCCGACCTGCTCGCCCGCACCGCGCGACGCGCTCTCGTCAGTCGACTCACTGTCAGGCTCAGCCGCCACAAAGTTGTTGGCAAACGCGACCTCGTCCGGATGGGCCGGCGTTGCGCCGGCTGACGCAAGAAGATCGTCGATCGAGTGGAACTCGTCGCCCGTCCACGACTCGCCCCAGTCGGAGAGCGTGTCGTTAAAGTTGTGCGACTGCCGCTTCTCGTCGTCCTGCTCGTTTCGCCGGCGGTGCTTCCGCCGCCGCCGACTCCGTACTGTCAGGGACGACCCGCTCGAGCCATGTGGAGTGAGCCGAGCGCCAGTGAGTGACGGCTCAGCATCGTAGTACATCGAGTCCTTGCGTCCGCGACCGGATCTGCTCTGCGCACCAATCCGACGCGGCGGCCGTCCAGGCAGCGGCGTGATGTGATCGCCGCCGTCGCCGTTGGCATCGTCAGCCTCGATAGCTACTTGCGGCGTGAGGAAGGCAGGCGAGCTGGCGTTCAGCGGCCACTCGCCCGATCGCGCCGAGCGGAACGAGGTGTTGACCACAAGGTCGCCGTTGTCAGCGTCGTTGTCGTCGTCGCCATCGGCATTGCCTGTGCTGCCGCCACTCCCTCCCCGGCCCGTTGACTCGCACTCGTCCGAGTACAGTTCGTCGTCAGGATAGGCGCAGAACTGGACACCAGAGTCCACTTCGCCCGTCTGGCTCCGCGACGCCTGGAGCTTGGCGGCCCGGCGCTGCCAGGTCTTAAGGTCGTCGAGGAGCCAAGACTCCATCATGTGAACAAGCGAGTCGTCAATGGGCCCCGAGTCGCCCGAGACCCCGGTCGCGTCCGACGGCCCCTCCTCAATGGCATCTTCCGGGTCGGACGAGTCCGACTCCTCCTTGCCCTTGAACGAGGCAACCGACGCCGCGCGGGCCCGGCGGCCCGGCGTGGCGGTGGCACACGCGCTGTCACGCGAGTGCGCCAGAATGTGCATAAAGACCAGTCGCTTGGTCTCGTTGAGATCATGCTCTAGCTCGGTAATGCCGATCGGGACTCGGACACACGAGTGGGGCGAGAGCGGCGACTTGACCCGATCTCCAGGCGTATCCTCCTTGCGGAAGCCAGCCATCGAGGCGATGGATGACGACCGCGCCCGGCGGGTGTCCACCAGCGGCGGCGGACCCTTCATGGCCTTGGCCTTGGCAGCCGGGATGACCGGCTGCAGGTCGAGAACATACTCAGTAGAGCCGTCGTAGAACACGTACTCGTCGCCAACCATGGTCACCTCGTAGGCCTGGTCGTAGTAGTGCGCTGCGCCGCGCATGCCCGGAGGAAGGAGTGAGGTGGTCGCCGGCTTGCGGCCCGAGTCGAGCCGGGCCTCCAGCTCGACGCCATCGCCGGCCTGTGCGGCCGCGGCCGACCCAGTCGTGACTCGGCGAGCTGACTGCAGCCTGGCGTCGGCTCGCTGTTGCTCCTCGAGAAGCGAGGCGAACCGTTCTTGCGTCCGCTGGTGATACTTCATGGCGCAGACGAGGACGATGAGGAACGAGACGACAGAGAGGATGAGGAGCGACTGGGTAAAGGTCAGCAGCTCGCCTTGGAGCCATGTCGGTGGCCGGCTGAGCAGCGAGGTAATGAGTAGGTGTGCGCCCACAAGCGTAAAGATGACGCCGAGGAAGATAATGATGCGCTTGAACTTAGTCGCCACCTGATGGACGAGCCAGCCATGCGAGAGTATGTCGGCACTTCCGTCTGTTCCCACATGCCGCCGCCGCACGCCACGCAGGTGCAGCTGCTGCACAGGAGAGTCCATCTCGGCCCACTCCCGCCTCTCCGTGGGGCCTGTGAGAGAGCTGTTGCTGCCTCGGCCAACTCTGCCCCGCCCCAACCCGACTGCCACCTCGGCGTTGCCACACTTTTGTCGTCTTCTTCCGCAAACGCGAGACGACTGACGTGGCTGACGGGTGGGGGG